ACAATACTTCCTCACCAATTGGCGTTGGAAGTAATGGTATGAAAAAATATAGGATATCAGTATCTCTGAAGAACATTGGCGCTTTCAAGGTGGGGGAGGGGGCGGGGTAAATGGGGTAATTACCCCCTAGAAGACAGCATCAGTTTTTGTATAAAATAAATTTGTTTATTAAAAAAATCTGTAACTCTGGGAAGGGATAAATCCCCCCCTTCAGACTGAACTCCTGGAAGCGCTACTGCGATTTAATCCAAAAGATGACACGATTGTCGTCGCCAAAAATTTCGTATTCGGGTATGCTCAACTGGTGTTTCATACGAAAATCATACCACCTATGGATTTTTAGCTCGGTAATGACATTAGACAAAACGAGAGTTGTTCTTAGAGCCCTGGCGACGTCGCCAGAAAACTGAATTTCTCTTACGTCCGTCTCGAAAAGCTTCGCAAAAGCTCCAAGTCGTTAAAAATACACTCTCATCGAACGGTACAGCGCGCTGTATATACCGAAGGATGTGGTTTCACCGGAAAGCTAAAGCTGGTCTCCTTGAATGCCGCTTACAGTACGAGATCCCGATGTAAATGTTGACCAAACAGAATTCCGATGCGAGAAAACGGTTTGAAAACACTATACTACTCCCAGAAATCGCTATTATTGATCGCAATGACCTAACGAGAAGTAGCTGTACTCTCCCTAGGTAAATACTCGTACTGATAACAAAAAGCTACCTAAAGATAAATAATAATGTCGCTTAAAATTGTATCCTGCTAACTTCGTTATGTCAGTATGCAACTAAGCCTCATAACATTGATTAACGTATTCTACCTACCGCTTTATTCTAGCGTCCAAAAATTTATCCGAGATGAAATGGGATACCATAGTGTCATCTATGGCAATTTGTCGCACTAATTAGAAATCTACTTTTAACAGGTTGATGTCTCTTAAATCGCGCTGCGTAGCCAAATCGTCATCTATGAGAATTTCTCGCAGTGACACTAACATTTTCAAGGTAGATTTATAATTACTACGGGGAGGAGAAACATAAAGCGAATTTAAAAGTATGCACTAAAACTACGCAATTTTGGCGCCATACACTGCAATGTTAATATATAGACTTGGCTAGTCTATGCGAATTCGTTGGTTTGGACCGACATTTCGATAACTATAATTGTGCTGCAAATTTTGAACTTTTCGAGTTCACTTGAGGGTTTTAGATTTTCAGAACATGAAAGTAAAACAGTCAATAATCAAATCCAAGCGAATAACCAAAATTTCTGTGTTATGTGCCGCGGTTATCATATGGTTCAAGATGACACACGGGTTGATGACGTCAGTTACACGAATCGCTTGAACGCGTTGGTTTTAACCGCGGTTTTGTTGCAAGTTGTTTATTTTAGAAAAGCGCGTATATAATCTCTGATTATTTTTATTATCAATAATCGTCTACAACTGTATATGGAAAGTTTAAATAAGAAACCTTTCATAATATTATATAATATAATAATAATAATATAATAGAGAAATGTTTTTTCAGATTTTTTTTTAATGTTGTAACCATGGCTTTGTAGCTATGATAACTTTCAATTCTCTAAATTTTTCCGCATGTCAAAGAAAGCATTGATTGATTCAGCAGAAATGATGAAAAAAGAAATTAGCAAAACCGTATACAGGTGGATATCATCTAGTGAGTTTATATGGCCATATTTTAATATTCTTGTGGTATATGGCTACACAGGATACTTTGTTAAGCATAGGAACTACATTTAAAGTGTCCTCAACAACCGTAATGAGTATAACTAATAAGGTGCTCCACTTTATGGTAAAACTGAAGTCAGCCTGTATCAATTTTCTCAAAAATGAAGCTGAAGTACAACAACAATATCCAATACCCGGCAAAATTCTAACTTGTCACATTTCAAATAATAACCAGAAATATAAAACTACTCTTGAGTTGGGTAAATACCACAATTTTGAGGTGATAACTATGACATATAACAGCTGATTCGTGACGTCACGGATCTTATAACCAAACTGATAACTACACTCGCTTGAACGGATCGGTAAATACCAACCCAAAATGGTAAATACCATTTCCATTTGGTTATCCGCTTGAATTTGATTTATACTACATATATTATTCTTCCATATTTGCAATCCACTTCGAATCTTTGACAAATTTGACAGACCGCAATCGGAACCAGCGTCTTGAGCCATGACGTCATGAATAGAATACGACTGGTTACAGTGTTTACACATTGGTCGTCCTTGAATTAGAACTATCGCCAAAAGAATTTGCTTATGGCAAACAGTGTTGCCAAACCTACCGATTTTTCGGTATGAGACATTTAACGGAATGCCGAAAACGTCCTCATTTTCCACGATTTTCTTAAAATAAACCACATATTTCCAGATATTTTACGGATAAAGAGCTGGAACCAACAATTAAGCTAAAAAATGAATTCTATGTAGGCTATGTACACAAGAGGCACGTACATAGATTTGGGTTGCTTACAATTATGTACGCACATCTCTTTATTTCACTTTTCTTATGTTGGTTTTTGTATACAACAGGTTCAGACTGGTAGATCACCCTTATTATGTTTTCAGTGGTGTCCTTTATATGAGCCTGTATCTGCATGCGTGGGGCCCCTGTAGGATATTTTTTTGTAGGAACTTACTTGTGTGTCTTATATGCATCAGAAAGTCCATATATCGGGTATAATATTGGTAAGAACTTTCCCCTCTAGCATCATAGATACGCCCATGGGCGCCCGCAGCGGAGTGCCAGGGGGGCCGCGGCCCCACCTATAGCATGATTCTGTATTCAATTCTGTAGAAAAATTTTTGCAGGCGCCCATAGATACGCCAATGTATATTAACGTTACGGTTATAAAATTCCAGTTGAAACATTGAAACAGATGTTTGTTTTCATGAACGTTTTAGAAACGAAACTACAAAGACAATTCAATGGTGTTCATTTCAAAAGAAAAGCTATGACGAGAGATATCCGCTATCAAAGCATTAATCACTGTAACGTATATAAACGTTACAAACCAGACCCTGTACTATCAGCAAGGTGTCAATCACGAATCAACAAAATCAAAATATCTCTGGACATTTCAACGGTTGAAGCTCGCAGTTGCGCGTTGCTCATAAAGACACGTGTGTCGTGTGTAGGTATTTGTAATTCGGGGGGAGAAGTGCGGAGAGAGTAGATAACAATGTATACTTTAGTGGGTACTTACCGAACACCGGTAACTGACAGCTCAGACGTCCGAGTCTCCAAGGATAGACCACGCGTTATAGAAAGAAAATTCTATATTTGGTGGATGCGCTGACGACGGTCTACTTTAGCTGGCAAACAGTGAAACATCGAACAAAGTTCTTTTGTCGAGAAGCCTGCTTGATTCGTGCGTGCAACGACGAGCCGGCTATATCGACAATCGTGCGGTTGGCCTTGGAATTTTAGAATTGAAAGGCTGGCGCCATCTAACGGCGACTGTGTCAAGCTTAGGGGTTATTTATTTTGCATATACCCAATGAGGCAGAAAGCTAGGCTTCAGTAGATAGACTTAGTATCTTGACGTAGAGATGGCGCTCTGTCAGGGACGGACTCAGCACTCTAGCTGGTGAGATATTTTGAAGAAAATTTCATAATGGCCTAGCCCCCCTTAATGTACGGGCAGCATTTGAAATGTGCATATCGTCGGACATCTGACAATACCTGCTATATGCAGGAATCGTAATTTTACAGGGGACGAAAAAAAACTTATCAATTTTATACTACCGGCCTTTTTTTCTCAAAAAATAAATGATGTTTAACACATATTTAATGCGTTTTTACCTAAATCAAGCTCTAATTGACAAAATTAGCGCAGATGGCTGATATTTCTGCTAACTTTCTTTGCAGTTAGCAGATATTGTACTATGATGCAGATATGGATTCAGTGAGATTCGTGTTACAAAAACTGTTATTCATTATATCAAATTAAAAGTTTAATGCTTTTACAAAGAAAAAGGTAATAGCATGTATTCTCAATTACACCTTAAATGAACGTTCAGCTTCTTTCCTTGACATATGGCAAATTGTCGTAAAACATGTGACAGTTCTTAGATATAACACTTATAATCTGAAATGACGGGTAGCTGTTTTGATCTCATAGGCAACTCCTGAGGCTCTACACTGAAGTCTAGTTTCACTTCAATTTTTCCATCGGTATTATAACATAATACTTTGATGTCCGTGACTACATTGTCCTTGCCTGGTCTAATTGTTGAGTATCGCTGCACCTCCGTTCGAGAGTAGTAATTGAAGAAGTCGTAACTCAATTGGATTACCCCATATGGCTCTCGTTTTACCCTAGCTTCTCTTGACGTCTTAACATAGTCATTTGGTAATTCAATAACTCTATTTCTCAGTTTTCTTTAAATGCAACTGTGTTCAGTCACATTCCATTTGGGTGTGTCCTTTGGTGAGATATTTCTGAGAAATCACAACGTCGTGTTTCATTGCAAAGTTAAGAAAAATAGCACGCGTAATTGTCAGATAGCTGGAATTGCCGTTCATTGACAGACGTGTTGCCAGCGGTAGGTATTTTTTTGGCTGAATAATTCAAAAACCAAATTTTTATGTAATTAGCGGACTCTATCACAATGTGCGCTGTAGGGACACGAAGAAAAATGTGCATATACCTGAAATAGGGCAAACATGTCAGATAGCAGGTATTGTCAGATGTAAGACGATATGTTATATTAAGCATGGTTTTGTGTACAATATTGGGGGATTTTTAGGATTTGTCCCTGCCTGAGAGAATTTGCTGCTCCCGCTCGTTAAATAGTTTTGGGAGCTGATATACTTTCACAAAAAGTTGCTTCTTACCGATGATCCTATTACATTACTCTTAGAAGATATAGATAATGATAATAAAAATAACTAATTTTCAGGTTTCGTTATAGACATTGAAGTTTCGAAATGTTTAAAAACACGGAAAATAAAAGTCCATTTCTCCTATATGTTTGTAAAAACCGATAAACAAAATACTTTATTATTGACTGGATCACTGTCGTACAAAATAGATCACTTGAACTTTTTAGTTATCTTATCTCTTCTAGTACATCTGGCATGGCCTGAAGGTTCAGGTGCTCCGGGATCGGTACCACCTTGTCTCGGAGGATGAGTACCACTAGAACCAGGTTGTACATCCATTTCTATTTCTTCGATTTCGTAGATGGACTCGTCATCACTGCTCTCGCTGAGTAGCACTTCTTCTAGATCTTTTTCTTCTCCTAAAAATAAAGTCTTATATCATTCATATATTCCATTATTTCGTGCCCAAAAAAAGGGGTTTCGCGGAAAATATGTTGTTTCTAAAGATTCTCATGCGGTTTTATCGAATTTTCACTTTGCTATATCGTACAAAAACTATTTTGGAACTAGCAAACCAACAAAACGTGTGTATACAGGGTGTCCGCAAAGTTGGGGTTTTCCTTTTCAGAAACAACTACCCTTGAAATAACAAAGGTAATGTGTAGTGAAACGAGGGCGACCAAGTAAAAAAAAATAAAGGAAAAAGTACTCACTCTCCAGCTGACGAGAAGGGCTAAGTACGTCTCTGCCCGAAATCATACCGCTCCAACAGAAAATGAAATCAGACGATGCGCTACCGAGCAGACGCCGGCGGTGGTGCAGACCAAACAAATAAGACGGCGTTGCCGCGTTTTCAGTTTTTAGGTAAACGTACTTTATAGGTATTGTTCGAAGTTATCGCCGTTTGATTCAAAAACACAGGTGCGTGCACGACGTAGCCAAGCATCGGTGCAGTTCGTCAACCGTATGCACTTCAGTTTTGTACACTAAGCGTTTCATTTCTCCCCAAAGAAAAAAATCACATGGTGTTAAGTCTGGAGATCGCGGAGGCCACGCTACGGGTCCATTACGTCCGATCCACCTATTCGGAAATAATTCATCCAAAAACTCACGCACTTCGCATCTAAAATGGGGCAGTGCACCATCGTGCAGAAACCACATGATTGTCTTACACTTAATGGCACACCTTCTAACAAGGAAGGCAAAATGTTGCGTAAAAAGTCTAGGTATTGCATCCCGTCCAATCGATTTGGGAGAATAAATGGTCCATTGAGCATACCGTTCACCATGCCAGCCCAAACATTCACCGAAAATGTTTGTTGAAAATGTGCCCGACGGACAGCGTGCGGATTTTCTACTGACCAAACATGAGTGTTGCGAAAGTTATTCACCCCATTACGCGTGAACGTAGATTCGTCTGTCACCAATATGCACTTCAAAACGTCCGGAATATTGTCATGTTGATGCAACAACCACTCACAAAACCGCACTCTTGCTGGAAAATCGTCAGGTTGAAGGGCTTGTACACGTTGGACGTGAAACGGATACAGCCCCTCTTCACTCAGCGTTTGCCACACTTTAGTTTTTGATAATTGCACTTCTCTAGCCACGTATCTAGAGATTCTCGTCTACGCGATTACCTCTACATGCGTGACCGTAACCATCGGTTGAAGGTTGCATACTGACCTGACACTGACCCCGACCCAGTTCTGCCATCGCGTTGAGACCTTGTACCAATCTGTGATGTCCCGAGTCGCGGCTACAGGACGGTATTCAGATATTTTTAATATTGCAGAGCCCTTTATCTCGGTTCCCTTAAGACATTGGTGTATATGGTACTAAGAAAAATTGCTTATGTTTTCAAGATCTACACGTCGTGTAAAGGAAAACCCCAACTTTGCGGACACCCTGTATAGTTCATTCTTTGCCTCGGAGCGCACAAGACTTTGAAGCCGGCCCTGGTTGTTTGTAGAATGAACGTCGATTACACGGTATTATTCGGATTCGGAAGGGAAGAGGGAAGAGGTGTATACGCAGGATGTGCATCTTCAGTAAAAAATTGTTAGGGGTGGAGTTGAATTGTTAAATAGGAATATGTGACTTGCCTGATTCACTCTCACTCTCTTCCGTTTTGCTCTGTTCGATATTTGTGAGTACCGAAGCTTGATCAACCAGCCCGTCGAGAACCCGTTGCCAGTAGCTGGCACAGTTCATTGCTTCTGTCAAAGCCTGTAGTGTTTCATGGGCTGTCACCACGTTCTTGATAAGATGGTCCTGTAAAAAAGACGTAAAAACACTCGTGAGAACATTGATTAACGTATTGTAACGCTCTCCTATCTAGAACTTTGAGTAACAATGAGACGCCCTCGTAACATTGACACTTAGGCAACCAGAATTACGCGACCGCCCATCGGCGAACGTTCGCTACGCATCGGGAAGTATCGAACGCCATCTACTAGGCTTCGATGAAGGCTCGAGTTCGGCCTAGAAAACGCGGGACCGCGTCTCGTCGATTTGAAGATACACAGAGGGCAGAGCAGGCAGACGGGCAGCGGATGATGAGTCAGCAGCGCAAAACGCGATAGTCCAGTCGACATAGTCATGTCATGTTTCAATGTCTTGTGGTAGACAAAAGTGAGGGGTGTATAATAAAACATCTCATGTGTTGCTCGTCTTGTTTCAACTACAGACGAAATGTTCAACAGGTAAGTAAGTGTTTCTGCTGATCGAGTACTCGAATGCGTGTCCGGGTAATTCCCGGACATTTAAAAAAAACCCTTTTAGACGGCCCCTATACTATGACAAATCGGGGGAATCCCGGACAGATGGCATCCCTAGTCTTAGCGCAAGTCTGTGGGCCTTTTCAAAGCTATACACTATTTTTTGTAAGAGTCCACTCCTCCTCAAACATTTCCAGTTTGTTTCAATTCGTCAAGGAATCTTACCTGAAGACACTTGGGACAGCAGTTAACTTTCTTTCCATGGAAGTTCTCTACAATGCTACTGGACAGATCTGTGACATGGGCGCTGTACTGTCTCCACGCGATAATATTTTGCTCCGTTTCCTTAGCAAACTTTCTCCATTCATGTTTGTACAACACCTTCTTCTGCCCATTACGAAGTATCTAAAAAATAACAATTGGAGGTTATTCATTTTCTTCAAGTTCAAATCAACAAATTAAGCAAATCATGAGCCCTACCACATCGCCTCTAATCGTGGCAACAAATTCTCGAACTTTCTTGACGATCTCGTGCACCCATTTGGTCCAAGTGTGGGCATTGTGGGTGATCTCAAGCAACCACACCGCCCAAATCTTCAAGGACAAGCAACAAACTGTACCTGGCGTATGCTCCAGGACAACCGACGGCTTGTGACCTTTGATAATGACACCTGCCTCTTCTGCAGTTAGCTCTCCACCTAAGAATTTGGCCAAACTGTAGTTCTTTGAGGAAAAATGTTTTTAACGAATTCCCCAAAAAATAGATACCCAAGAATTTCGACCTGCCTAAAAATGTTGAAAAGTATAATTTTGAAAACCCTGATTATTTAAAAAAAGTTACATTAAATAAAAATATTGCCATCGAAAAATTAGAACATTTTGTAAACTCTGGAATAAGTAAAAACTAAAAATTGTGAAAGCTGCAAAAATTGCAACAATGACGAAAATTGTCAAAATAACAGGAATGCGGAAAATTTACAAATGTGAAAATCTTGAAATTTGCGGAAATTGCACAAATGTAAAAATGGTGAAAATTGCAAAAAATACGAAAACTACGAAAAGTACGAAAATTACGAAAATTACGAAAATTACGAAAATTACGAAAATTACGAAAATTACGAAAATTACGAAAATTACGAAAATTACGAAAATTACGAAAATTACTAAAATTACGAAAATTACGAAAATTACGAAAATTACGAAAATTACGAAAATTACGAAAATTACGAAAATTACGAAAATTACGAAAATTACGAAAATTACGAAAATTACGAAAATTACGAAAATTTACGAAAATTACGAAAATTACGAAAATTACGAAAACTACGGAAACTACGGAAATTACGAAAATTACGAAAATTACGAAAATTACGAAAATTACGAAAATTACGAAAATTACGAAAATTACGAAAATTACGAAAATTACGAAAATTACGAAAATTACGAAAATTACGAAAATTACGAAAATTACGAAAATTACGAAAATTACGAAAATTACGAAAATTACGAAAATTACGAAAATTACGAAAATTACGAAAATTACGAAAATTACGAAAATTACGAAAATTACGAAAATTACGAAAATTACGAAAATTACGAAAATTACGAAAATTACGAAAATTTCGAAAATTACGAAAATTACGAAAATTACGAAAACTACGGAAACTACGAAATTACGAAAATTACGAAAATTACGAAAATTACGAAAATTACGAAAATTACGAAAATTACGAAAATTACGAAATTACGAAAATTACGAAAATTACGAAAATTACGAAAATTACGAAAATTACGAAAATTACGAAAATTAACGAAAATTACGAAATTACGAAAATTACGAAAATTACGAAAATTACGAAAATTACGAAATTACGAAAATTACGAAAATTACGAAAATTACGAAAATTACGAAAATTACGAAAATTACGAAAATTACGAAAATTACGAAAATTTCGAAAATTACGAAAATTACGAAAATTACGAAAATTACGAAAATTACGAAAATTACGAAAATTACGAAAATTACGAAAATTACGAAAATTACGAAAATTACGAAAATTACGAAAATTACGAAAATTACGAAAATTACGAAAATTACGAAAATTACGAAAATTACGAAAATTACGAAAATTACGAAAATTACGAAAATTAACGAAAATTACGAAAATTACGAAAATTACGAAAATTACGAAAATTACGAAAATTACGAAAATTACGAAAATTACGAAAATTACGAAAATTACGAAAACTACGAAAACTACGGAAACTACGAAAATTATGTAAATAACGAAAATTTCGAAAATTACGAAAATTACGAATTTTACGAAAATTACTAAAATTAAGGAAATTACGAAAATTACGAAAATTACGAAGATTACGAAAATTACGAAAATTTCGAAAATTACGAAAATTACGAAAATTACGAAAATTACGAAAACTACGAAAACTACGAAAATTACGAAAATTACGAAAATTACGAAAATTACGAAAATTACGAAAATTACGAAAATTACGAAAATTACGAAAATTACGAAAATTACGAAAATTACGAAAATTACGAAAATTACGAAAATTACGAAAATTACGAAAATTACGAAAATTACGAAAATTACGAAAATTACGAAAATTACGAAAATTACGAAAATTACGAAAATTACGAAAATTACGAAAATTACGAAAATTACGAAAATTACGAAAATTACGAAAATTACGAAAATTACGAAAATTACGAAAACTACGGAAACTACGAAAATTATGTAAATAACGAAAATTACGAAAATTACGAATTTTACGAAAATTACTAAAATTAAGGAAATTACGAAAATTACGAAAATTACGAAAATTACGAAAATTACGAAAATTACGAAAATTACGAAAATTACGAAAATTACGAAAATTACGAAAATTACGAAAATTACGAAAATTACGAAAATTAGGAAAATTACGAAAATTACGAAAATTACAAAAATTACGAAAATTAAGAAAATTAGGAAAATTATAAAAATTACGATAATTACGAAAATTACGAATATTACGAAAATTACGAAAATTACGAAGATTACGAAAACTACGAAAATTATGTAAATTACGAAAATTTCGAAAATTGCGAATTTTACGAAAATTACGAAAAATACGAAAATTACGGATATTACGAAAATTACGAAAATTAAGAAAATTACGTAGATTAAGAAAATTACGAAAATTGCGAAAATTACGAAAATTGCGCAAATTACCAAAATTACTAAAATTACGAAAATTACGGAAGTTCTTAAATACGTTAATTATTGTAAAAAATGAGAAAATAGCGAATATTGTGAACATTGCAAAAATTGCATAGATTTAAAAAACTACTATTGTTCTGTAAATTGTGAATTGTACTCGTATGATTCGTGAATGTTGCCTTATTAGTTAAAATTGGGAAGGTCGTGATAATTTTGAAGTTTTTAAAAATTCTCTTTGACATTGCCTCCACAGTTTACAAGGTATTAAAACCTTTCTCATTGACAGAAGGCGTTCGACTTACAGAGATAATTTGTCATCTGTTGACAGTCCCTTAAAACCCTCTAACCTCCACATATTAACAGTGACGTGAATTGGCGCACTGTAACGAGAAGCATTTACACGTACCTGGGTAAATTACATCGATAGGGAGTGGGGCAGTTTCTTCTTCTTCCTCTCCAAACCCTCCCAGCATTTCCTCTCCTTCCGCAGTCAGCATTTCCTCTTTCTTCATGTCTTCTATGATATCGTCGATAGTCTGTTCTGGTTCTATGATGGCCGCCTCTTCTTGCTCGGTCTGCAGATCGCCGAAGCCTGCGCCACCGAATCCCTCGGGACCAAATTCGCTTTCACCTGGACCACCAGCTAGAGGTCAATATTTCGAAATTTGAGCTGAGAATCATATTCGAGTATATTTGGTCGCAAATGCATACAGTCCGGGGAGTATCTTCGCATCTGCTTGGAAAAATATTCTGAGTTTTTTTATATCGCGCAGAAAGAATCCTAAATACCAGGGCATCGCGGCTGCTATGAGAGGCTTAAAGAAACTTTGCTAATCCGATTTTTGAGCTGCCTAAGGTTTAGTGGAACTGGGACAAACCTCCTCTTGTAGATTGTTCCATAATCTCGTTACCCTAAGGACAAAGGAGCGCATTTTGAATCAATTTGATTCAACCCGTTTCTTTGAAACCTCCAACTAAGGCGTAGGAAGTATAAAGTCAATCTAGTTGACGCCCTTTTTTTCTTTTATTCGCCGAGATCGCGTAAAGCCATTTTTACAATTTTATGAAGGTACCGCGAATAACCGCCTGGGGAACATATTCACACTCCCAAAAAAACTGCAGTTTGAAATTACATAAAATCCGTTCAGTACTGTCTGAATAACAGCGGAATAGACAAACTGACAGACAGATAGGAAAGGCATAACATGGTGTTTCGAGATGTAACCTCAAAATATCATAGTATTCCATTTTCTAAAATGTTTCGCGATTACAATGCTTTCTCGCCAGTGGCATGTGAAGTAATAAGAGCACCAAAAACATTGTGGAATGCTTATATACCATCAACTCCTGGTACATCTTCAGCCGGGATTTCGCCATCTATTCCTCCATCATCTATTCCGGGCATGTCTGTACCCCCTTCACCATCAACTCTTCCTCCTGTACCATCGTCTGTAACAACAGTAAACTGTTAAAGATAACGTGAAAAGATCAGAAATTCGAAATGCACTTCAGTCTTCTTTTGATACCCGCATCTAAAGCACACTGCATATATTATCCTTTGTCACTGAAAAGTAATGGATAGTCGTTCTATCCAGAGAGACGTATAAAACCAATTTCCCTTTCCCTATCCAATTCAAAATTGTGCAGTGAGAATTCTTTTCACGCAGCATCTCCTCACGAATTGGCGCGAAATTTACAAATTGGCCATTGTGCAACAGTTACAGCCCGGAGATTATGCACAACGAATGAACTTCGCACGTGAGATGGAAGCACTGATCGATCAAAATGTGAACCTCATTTTGTTTATGAGTGACGAAGCCCACTTTCACCTAAACAGCATGGACGTGTGTGGTTCCAGCAGGATGGGGCAACCGCCCACACAGCCCGAGCATCCATGGACGTTATTCGCCCTTTCTTCCCTGGTCGCCTTATTTCCAGGTTTGGCGATGTTCATTGACCTCCTCGGTCCCCAGATTTATCCATATGCGATTTTTTCTTATGGGGACACCTCAAGGCTACGCGAACAAGCCCCGAACTCTGGACGAATTGAAGGGCGTGGAAGTCGGCCAAGTTGAGAGAGCGATGTTGAAGAGAGTCTACGCGAACTTCCAAGAACGCCCCCAGCACTGCATCAACGATTTCGGCCACCACATGCCTGATGTGATTTTCCACACTTGACTGTCTCAAATGCTATTTCCTTGTGAACCTGATTCCATCAATAAATTTGTTTTCGAGTAAAAATTGACTATTTTACGATTTTTTTAAAACCGTTCATCCTCTCTGCCGCACCCTGTACAAAGGTTTATATCCGTATGTCTTTGATAGTGAATCTTACATTTTTCTAAAATAGTTAGGTATTGAGAGTAGTTTTGTCAAACGAAAGGTGGCATTAACATTCATTTTTCTTAAACACCACGTCCTGGATTTCTTTTTAGGCGCACCATTTTCGGAAAGAATCTTTCATTGACACTAGTCTATCGTTTTACAGAATAATAATCAAGGTGGCACACTAAGGAACGTAATAAAAAACTCCAAGAGATATGATTCAAGCTGAATCAATGTGGCTTTAAGAAAGCTTATTTTTTAAACATGGAAATGGGGAATTGCTCATATGTACTTTTATATATAATTGTATAAATATAGAGCCTTCAGCATTACTCGTAATGTCCGAGATCTCAAGCTAACTGAATTCGAATAATATCCTTACCAACTTCTCCAAATCCAAACCCAACTTCTTCTTCTTCTATTCCTACTTCTCCTCCTATCCCTCCCTCCGCTCCTATTTCTGCTTCTCCTCCTATTTCTTCTATCCCTTCAAGTTCCCTTTCTTCTCCTATCTCTCCTTCCATTCCCATTTTCCCTTCTTCTTCTTCTTCTATTCCCCCTGTTCCAGCTAGATCCTCAGTTCCGCTCATGTCTCCTTCTATGTCGCTGATGCCTCCCATTCCTTCTTCTCCCCAAATGCCTGCGACTTTAGACCAGTCCTCATCTGAAAAATAAAATTTGAATGAAACGAGCCATTTTTTCTACGTTTCACTTACATACGCTAGAGTTTTGCTTCGTGTCAAATGTACGTAAGAATTTGGAAGGCTACGGCATTAACATATAAACATTTCTCTTAATACAGGTGTTTACCCAGACTTTTTAAAAACATCAATAGTTATTTCTATTTACAAAGGAGGGACTTACCAGAAAATTAAATAACCCATAAGTTTAATTACTGATATAGCACAAATAGTTCAAATTATTTAAACGATAAATAAATTTTAATAGCTGCTTCTTGCGACTTTTTCAAAGATTTGCACTATGTAAATCATTATAACAAAAATTAAACAAATATGGTTGTACTGGAACTTGACCGAATTGGTTTAAAAATAAATAATCTATCCCAATTTGTAAAATTATCAAGAGATTATATTTCATATAAATTCAATATGAACGCAGGGGTACCTTAATCAACGGTATTAGTTCCGATCGTGTTCTTAATCTCTATCTGTGACTTATTGAACTTAAACATACGAGCGCCTTCCCACTTCAGTTGATCCAACTATTGAAATCTTAGTTTTTTCTTATCAAACACAAATAATAAAAATGTAGCAGGGTGTTATAGGTTTAAAATATTAACAATGAATATTTTGATAATATATAGTAGAAAACACCCAACTTTATCACTCGCTAATCAAATTTGCAGCTTAAAAATAACACATGTTGCAATTACAGCATATCAACCTATTTTCATTTCAATGCAAAATAAGTCTATAACGCATAGGTGGCTGTGAAAAATGAAAGCCATGACAATTGTTTTTAATAATCACAGCTGTCAGAATACGTTTAAAATAGTTTTGGGTAGTTAAGGTTTTCAAAATGGGTAAAGGAAAGGTTATTAGTGAGAAAATTCGGTTACTGATAATTAAATTTTTTAATTCTGGGAAATCAAACTCAGAAATTGCAACTTTGTTAGACTTATCGCGGTACAGTGTGAGAAATATTGTTAGAAGATATAACGTAACTGGTTCAGTTAATATTAAGCCACGATATGTGAAAAAGAGTAATATCACAAATGCCGCCGAAGAGCATTAAAAATAATAATCGTGAAAAACAGGCGTGCCAATTATTTACAATTAAGTGGAGTGACGCTGTTGGAAGGAGAATTTCGAGGTCCACAACTCATAGAGAGGCCCACAAACTAGGATTTAGCACTTGCAAGGTAAGTTTCCTTATAAAAAAAAGTGAAGTAAAAACCCTAAAGTTGCACAACTTGTTTATAGGCCAAAAAAAAGCCACTATTAACTCCACTGCAAAAGAAAAATCGGCTTTTATGGGCTAAAGAACATTGACAATGGACACCTCAACAATGGTGTGCAATACAATGGAGTGATGAGGTCCGATTCGAAGTTTGTGGTGGTGACAGTAGCAGTAGAGTTATTCGCAAAAAATGAAGCATTCCATGTTGACTGTCTGAAGAGAAAAGTGAAATTTCCAGCGTCCATTATGGTCTGGGGCAATATGTCATCAAAAGGAGCAGGAAAACTTCATTCTATTAATAGAAATGTGGATACAAACAAATATTTGGCAATTTTAGAAGAATCGCTTTTAAGAATGTTTGACATCCGGCCAAGATTTTGTGTTTCAGCAAGATGGTGCAGCGTGCCATACCTCAAAAACGGCTATAAAATGGATGGAAGAAAATAATGTACCACTTTTGAAATGGGTTTCTAGCAGTCCAGATCTGTCACCTATTGAAACTTTGTGGCACGAGATGAAACAGGTTCTACGACAACATCCTGCTCGTACAATCACCGAACTGAGACAAAAGCTTCAAGAAATATGGGATTGTTTTACACCAAATTTTTGCCAAAACTTGGTTAACACTATGCCCCAAAGAATTTCAGCCGTAATAAAAAATAAAGGTGATGTTACCCAATGGTAATCTTTCAATTGTTGCTTTGTTAACTTCGCGCATTTATTCGCACATTGTTTATTTGTTCAGATGTTCTATTAGTTATAGGTCTGAGTGATTTCAAATATGTATTTTGTACGACTAGAGTGTATCTTAAATGTTTTTGAGAAAATAAATTGTTTTAGAAGTAAATATTTTCGTCATATTTATACTAAGTGACATATAAATCCGAACACCCAGTTTAAATGGTTTTATTTTAATAAAAGTTGGTGAATGTATTTATCTTACCGTAAATCACAAGTGAAAAAATTTTCAGCCTTATCAGTTGGACATTCCGGTTTTTATACTGCTTTTTTTTAATTCACTAACGCTCTAAAAATGAATATTTCAGCCGCAGTAAAGAATCAACGTTGGCGGATTTTAGTTCTTGACATCTTTTACGATCGGTTACGATGCCTAGAGTACGGAGACCTGTACGATTTCGTCAAGTATAGTGGGACTTCGGGAAGCTGGACTTTCTTTTCGGGCAATTGCAGTTAGAGTGCAAAGAAGTGTAGACACTGTGGTTAGGTGTTGTGAGGCATGGCTTCGAGAAGGCCGTACGCAAAGAGCAAGGGGCACTGGACGCCGCCGTAGAACAATAGACCGTGAAGATCGCCGCCTAAGATTATTGGCCTTAAGGGACCGTTTCTCCACTACCAGGTCCATTGCAAATGAATGGTGTACAGAACACGGAAGACCTATTGGCATGCGAAGTGTTTGCCGACGAATGAGAAGGCTTGTTTTCATACCGGCCACACTGGGTCCACCCTTTAACTCGAGAACACCGACGTAATCGCCTTGAGTGGTGCAGACAACGGTCACTCTGGGATCAGGAATGGAACAGTATTGTCTTTAGTGACGAGTCTCGATTTTGTTTAGGCATGCACGATGGTCATGCCAGGGTTAGAAGGCGACGTGGTGAAAGGAGGAATCCACAGTTTTTTGTTGAAAGACATGTTCATCACACTGTTGGAGTTATGGTTTGGGGTGCTATAGCTTATGGTTCCATCAGAGGTAACATGAACGCGCAGCGTTATATCCACGATGTTCTAGAACCCCATCTTTTACCCTATCTTGACACCCTGGCAGATCCAACTTTCCAACAAGATAATGCCCGACCACATGTTGCAAGAGTCACAATAGACTTCTTTCAACATAATGATGTCACATTGTTACCATGGCCACCGTAATCTCCCGACTTATCCCCAATTGAGCACGTGTGGGATATGATGGGTAGGAGATTGCTCAATTTGCAATGTCCTCCTCAGACTCTAGAAGCACTTCGAGAGGAGTTGGTGGTTGCCTGGAATGAGATACCTCAGGAAGACATTAACCACCTGATCAGAAGCATGCCTAGGCGCGTTGGAGAATGCGTAGCACATCACACATTATTAAAGGTCAAAGGGCTTTAAAGCAGTGCAATCATTTTGAAATTTTTATCATTTACTTATTATGCTTCATTAAGTACTTATACAAAATTTAATTAAAATAAAACCATTTAAACTGTGTGTTCGGATTTATATGTCACTTAGTATAGTTTACAAAGGCATATTTTGGTACAAATCTTGAAGCGGGCCAACTGAAGTGGGAAGGGGCTCGTACATGGTAAATTCGTAGTTTTTGCTGACGATACCACATATAAATGATATCAAGACAAATATTGATAGTTATATACAATCATTGAATCAATTAATAAATCAGTCAATCGATCAACTAATAAATCAGTCATTCAATCAATCAACCAATCAATTAACCAATCAACCCATGAACCAATCAACCAATCAACTGACTTTTAATGTTAATAAGAACTATTAGATATAACTAAAAGCAATCCTAGAGCTAAGTGCAAATCTTTATCTGTAAATCTTAAAATAATGACTGTCGAGTAATTGTTTATTTTGGAAACGGCAACTCCTATTTTTAAAAATAGATTCAAATTTGATAGATAGATATTAGTTACAAAATTAGACGAGAACAAGACCTTAAATTAGTAGCAGTAGACTCAATAATGCCTAATGGTCTGAAAATTTACAAGTACAAGTACAAAACACACTACAGATGTTCGACAAGTGTGCTTTAAAAACATTTTCCAAAATTTTATAAATGCATACCAGAATGATCAAACTTCGGCAACGCCCCAGCAAAGAGCAAATCGTTGAGCAGAGCGGCTGTATCATGTATGGTTTTCAACATATTATCATCCACTTGATCAGGATTGTTCTGAAGGGCCCATTCAATAAGAACTTCTTCCAGATAAGGTTTCTTTTCTATACCCGGCGGTTCGCCTTCCTTCAATATCTTGATCTTTTTTAAGATGTCCTTGTATTTCACGCCAGGTAGCTTCTCATCGTTCACTAGACTGTCTAAGAATTCGTCGGAGCAATTCTCAAGGATTCTGATCAGTTTGGAGAGTAAGTCGTCGTCTAGACCTTCCAGGAATCCATCAATATCACCTGGATAAACAAAATAATTCACACATAATTACATGAATACGAAATGCGAGATACCTCATGAGCATCAAGTTTGGGGATAATATATATATATATATATATATATATACATAACAGTTCAGGCTTAAGGTTTCTTAATGCCAAACTAGATGATGCTGATGAGGTGCCAAAAAGCACGAAACAGCTGTCCAGGTTTGGCCGTTTGTGGTCGGGCGGACGAAAGCTCACTTTTGTCACAAGACAAGCAACATGGTGCGCTTGAGGTGTCGAAGTACCACTTTTCGCATTTCGGTCCATGAACAATGCAGCATTGGTAATCGAAAATTCCTTATTGAACATTATTCAAATTTAAATTAAGAAATTACTTTATGAATACCTAAAACGCGTAGTGCTGCAACTTTAATACACAAAAACGCAAAATTCTAAAAAATTGATTAAAAAACGTATAAAAAAATCACATTGTAGCATTGTTGCTAAATAAACAGTCTATCATACAATGGGGTTATTAAGTTTTGAAAAAAGGAAGTTATGCTGCTGTGTGACAATATCACCGTGCAGAGAAATAGATTTTAATCTTTCAGGTGAAAACCGTGCGTTGGAATTTAAAAAATAAACAGATCAAATCTGCTTATACGTAAATACAGATTTCATTTTTTTATTTTAGGAAGAGTCAGTGGCGTGTCAAATGAGTTATTTTTGAAAACCTCCCTGTATCTTAAAAATTAAAGACGCTTAGGACATATTATGAAGGTTTCTTCTTAAAATGGTCCTAAAAAACGTCCTCTTAAATATTGGCATTCAATTAGGAAACGTCCTGTCTAATAGAAAAAAAATGAACCGTCACCTGGAAGACATAAATATAACGGGTGATTTTTTAAGAGGTATAGGATTTGATTTAAAAATAAAACACAAAAAATTTGAAAAAACGATTAAATTTTTATTTGAGTCGATAACGGTCGATATAATTTAATGTTTAAAGATTATTTCATGTAAATGGTGGCCGCGGCTCCGCTTTAGATGGCCCATGCTCAAGGTCCAATTTTAGCACACTCTCTCCAACATATCGGCCGGTATCTCACGAATAAATGATTCAATATTGGCTTCCAGTGCGTCAATCGTTGCCGGTTTATCCCTGTAGACATTAGCCTTAACATGGCCCCACAAGAAATAGTCCAACGGCGTTAAATCACACGATCTAGGCGGCCAATTGACGGGCCCCAAACGTGAGATAAACTGTTCACCGAACTCGCCTCTCAATAGGGCCATCGTTTCGTGTGCGGTGTGGCATGTGGCACCGTCTTGTTGAAACCACATGTCAGCCAAGTCCAGCTCTTCCATTTTGGGCAAAAAAAAGTTTGTTATCATCGCACGGTAGCGCTCGCCATTCACAGTTACGTTCCGGCCATTGTCGTCTTTGAAGAAGTACGGCCCACCTGCCCATAATCCACACCAAACACTGATTTTTTCGGGATGCATTGGTAGCTCTTGCAATGCTTCTGGCTAGTCTTCACTCCAGATGCGGCAATTTTGCTTGTTAACGTACCCATTCAACCAGAAATGAGCTTCGTCGCTGAACACAATTTTTCGATAAAAATGTGGATCTTCCTCCAACTTTGCCAGCGTCCATTCACCAAATTGGAAACGTTGTGGGAGGTCGTTTGGCTTCAATTCTTGCACCAGCTGTATCTTATAAGGTTTTACACCCAAATCCTTTCGCAAAATTTTCACGTAGTGGAGTAACAGAGGCCCAATTGCTGCGAAGCTGCGAACGGCGGCGAATCGACATTTCACGGTCATCACTAACACTGGCGGATACAGCCGCAATATTTTCTTCAGTCCTCACTCTACGTCTGCGTGTTGGTAGTTTAATGTCCAATAATGTAAACTGGATTCGAAATTTAGTCACAAGCTTCCGAATAGCTCCCTCAGTAGGCCGACCAAGTTGCCCATAAATTGGAAGCAGTGCTCGATGCACTCTCTTAACCGAGCATGAATTTTGATAGTAAAATTCAATAATTTACAAGCGTTGTTCGTTCGTAAGTCGATTCATGGTTAAATTATAGACCAAACTGAACAAGTTTGACAATGACACAAGACACGATTCACGCGTCATCTGTCAAAAACAGTGTTGCCAAAAAGATACTACCAAAAAAATCACCCAATAAAATACATTGTTATTTTTTATTTATACTTTAGCCACCGATGTGACCGAAACGTTGTCAACATTCAACGTATGTGGTTTTATTTGACTACCAGCAAAACGTGGGTTGTTTAAGGTTCTTAACGCTGTATCTTTGTCACCAAGTGTCCAATCGCAATCTAGTACTGTTTGAATGCTCACTGAGTATTTACTAAAGAAGTTACGAAGCCCGCAGTACCTCGACTTAAGTTGAAGTGATTTTATTGATACAAGTTTGGAAGTTAGGAAGTATAGTCAATTGGTTCCACCTCAGAGACAAAGGATCGGTCGGAATTGCCAATCCTCGAAGTATGAAGCTCGGCCGAATTATGCAAAACCTGGCGAGCTCATCTATTAGGCCCAAAATGCGGCTCTATAGAAGATGCTTACCTGCATTTTCGCCTCCAAGCACTTCTGTCACTAGATCCTCCATTTCAGAAGGAGACTTCTCACCGAATTCGTCCTCTTCGTCCCCGTAACCCCATTTTCCATAAATAACTCCGAGTCCCTCGTCTCGCTCTTTTCCTTCATCTCCTTCACTGCTAAAACCTTCGCTGCTTTCTTCTTCACTCTCTTCTCCGTCTCCTATGGGTAAAGAAATATGTTGGGCTACAAAGTATTTTTGGTCCCAATCTGGTCTTTTGTTGTTAGTCTGATATCCCATAAGCATCCATGGGAAGAAATTTTATTCGTGTTGAGATCTACAACATACTAAATTAAAAAAAAAAGCTGAAAGCTATTCCCAATGATGTGTCTGAAAGTTCTAGGAGCAAGCTGTACTTCCGGTGGTTTTCAGAAAGGTCCGTTCTACGTATTTTTTGAATGGAAACTTTAGATGATGGATTTGATGTATAAATACTAATACTGACTATTTTCTAGCGTGGTTGAAAGTTCGAGGATGGTGGAGGATGAAGCTATTTTTTGTACCAGCATAGTGGACTGCAATGCATGTATATTTACCAACGGATGCCATTGATACTGGAGGTATGTCTTTATCACTCTCAACTGCTTGGATATCAACGAATTTGATCAGGGTATCAACCCAAACTGCCAGTTTGTCACTAACTTCAACAATTGTCTTGTTATAGTGACTTTTGCTATTTCTGCTGGGCTTCTTCATGATCTCGCACCGATGCATATGCTCAAGTATGCCGTCAGAAATCTGCATTTGCTTGTAGTTCAAAGAAAACAGAGGCTGTTCTTCCATAAACTCCATGATCACGTCTGTAGTCAGCGCTATTTGGTCTCTCAACCACTGAGTGTCACCTTTTTCTTTTTCTTTCTTCAGCTTCCTCAATCTCCTGCGCTTTTGTCTCCGCCTCTTTTTCTTATCTTTGTCTAACTTCTTGTAGTAATACCTAAAGTAGCGCGTCTAGTTGAGTATTTTGAAGGCGATTTTCTTGTACAGTAGGCAAGCTGAACACCTGAATGGCTGATTTAAAACTATATATTTTTTGCTGCCGTACGTACGGGTCGGTAGTACCAAAGAGTAGTTATATCCAGTGAAGGCACTCCGTGAAATGTGTTTATAATACATCGTCATTGACCTTGGGAAATCTAAACATATATCACTGACGGGGTAATGTGTACGAGAAAGAATGCGCCGCAGCTGCGTCCGTAAACTCGTCACTCAGGCTGCTAGGCAACATGGTGCTTCTATCTCTTTCCAACCACAGGATAAGTTTCAGGAATTACGTTAACATATGTTTAAACGACATGCGATGTTTTCTAGACGCCATGTTTTGGGCTACTACTATTATCTCTCTAATCAATTCCACCTTGTCTTGGTATAGCTACTCTTTAGCAGCACCGCGATTGGCGAATCTACTTATAGGTGGCGTGTAACTTTTTTTTCGCATCCTTTGGATGTATTACCTGGCGTCTCTGGGATCCAGATTCTTGTCAGTATGCAAAATCTTCTCGTATCTCAAAACCATCTCAGCAGGCAACCTGTTGTAGTAGTCTTTCCAATTTGCAAACACCCTCCTCTTGTTCGGAACAGCCAATTGCACAAATCTTGGAGGACAAGGCTCCAACTCGCATCGAATTTTTCGAGGTTTTGGTGGAGGCTCCACATGTCGCACTTGGGGAATCGACAGGTAATCGCAGTATTTACTTTGTGACAGCACACTTTTCTCAAGTAGCGTTAGTTTCTTCAATTTTTCTTTAGGATCTTTTGATTTCGGACTCTTCTTCTTCTTTTTCTTCCGTTTGAGCATCTGTCGTTGCTCCTCTCTACATAGTTTGAATGGAATATCTATTGGGGACTGCTTTGGCGGTATGGGAACATCTCGTTCTCTTTGCTTGAAGTGCCTGTAGGACATTCCCCACGATATCTCGTCCTGTATGATGACCTTTTGTGGTTCTTTTTCTTCATCCTCCTTGGAGACTACCCCCAGGGATTCATATTGGCGATGGAATTCACAAACAGACATTTTTTAATTTACGTACAAAAATTTTATAGATTGGCTATAATCATGTCAATGAGACACTTTTGACATCATTAAGATTGAGATTGTATTAAGAACGGTTTGTAGTGCTCCAGGTATAACTAAAAAACAAAGAGCGAATTTTACATCTTTACAACGCCATAAGGCGAGATTTGCAAAAAATCAAGGTATTTATAAAACTATTATATTTGCTATGTTATTAGAGCAAAAATGGGAGTCCTCCATGCGCGTGGACTTGACTAAACTAAGAAAATGCTCATACTTTCTTTTCAACCCTCGTAAAAATATACAATTTGGATTTTCACTAGTAGCATTCAAATTTCTTGTTCTATGATTTCAGCTTGTCAAGTTGTTGTCAACAAACACCTAACCTCAAACTTGAAAACGCTAAAATCCAAATTTGAGATGAAAAGTTGATAATAACGTAAAAATGGCTTTTTCTATGCATACTAAACTATACCCAGCAAATCACAAAACTGTGTTCGTGCTAGACCATACTCCGTATTTCGGTATATCATGTGAAAGTCCGATAGAATTCGAGTTCTTGAAGGCAAGAACTCCCGGTTTTATACCAATGACACCGATTTCCAAAAGTTTATGGACTTCTAGCGTAGAGTCAGCTATAGAATATTGCAGAATAGTATGGGATCTATTTCCACAAGGCAAACTGGTTGGTATAAAACTGAAGTTCTTGGTAGAAAATTAGCATTTCTTGCTTTTTAGGTACGGTTCATTGCTAGTGATACTGTAGCTCATATCTTGAATACATGGAACCAGACTCAGCAAAACTTGACCCATGTGAGTATATACTTTTTGCAGAAAATTGCTATATCAATGATCAATTGTCGCTACCGATAATAAGATTTTATACAATATTATTTTGCAGGTAATGAATGGGATGTCTTTAATAGGGGTACCTCCACCTCCCCCACCCTTAAGAAGTGTAAACACCCCCTTAGATTATACAGTACTTCATGGCCTAAGAGCTGCCATAGAAGCACTGAGTGAGGTCACAGATATACAGCAAGAAAAAATTCAAAGTGGTGTAGATGGGCAAAAAATTTTGAATAGGGGAAGAGTTATTTGCATTACAAGTGCTAGGGATAATGACAGCATGAAAAGGCTTGAGGATATTTTTTTATCTGTACTTACTCAACAAAATAAAGTTAGTTCTACAGAAAGGTAAGATTCTATCAGGGCTGGCTCTACCATATAGGCAAACTAGGGGATTGTCTAGGGCACCACAGCCTCAGAGGCTGTGGGGTGGCCGTGTGTGTTGATAAGAACAGGGTAGGCAAACAGTAGTACATATATTTTTTGAGAAAAGACATGTACTTGCAAAGTAGACTTTAATTTTTATTCCAAATGTGTGTAAACTTTGTTGTATTTACTCTCTGAAAATGTTAATGGTTTGTATTGTTTGTATTATTCAAACCTAGTTCTGTGTCCATCTAGGGCACTAAAAACTATTGAGCCAGCCCTGGATTCAATTTGTCGCATGTTTAAGTACCAGAAAACTCTATTCTATATCTTGGTTAAAATTTTACTTGCCTGTAGGTTTAGGTTTTCCAGGCTGTGAAGTTGAAAGCAGCAAGAAAAGAGAAAACAACGATTCATTCCTAACATATATTTCACTTGAACCTTTTTACATACATGAACATACACATGCATATAAAATACTGAAATGTCCAATACAGAGTGAGCTAATTATTATTATTTTTACAGGCTTCTTACCATAGATCATTGCCACTTAGTTATTATTAACACATTTCCCATCAATATTGAATCACAAGTCAACAACCACCCACCAAAAAATGTAAGTAACACTTGGATCCATATAACAAACAGTTTTCTCTCTTTGTCTTATAAACCTCAAAATGCAGAAATACAGTTTTTCGGTAGTAGATGCTGAAATAATTATTTACATTCACTTTTTAAGGTTTTATTTAACAGCCAGAATAACATAGAGAATTATCAGCATGAAAACCACAGGATAAGTTTCAGATGTTATATTAGTCATTTTTATTCTTGCAGCTTTCACCAATTCTCACCACTGAAGTGCACTCTATAAAAGCACCTCAAATCCCAAATAAATTATCTTCTCTGATTCTTGACCATTATGATTTGGCCAGCACAACTGTAACTGGCATTCCTATGAAAGAAGAGCAAAATGCATCTTCTTCTGCAAATTATGATGTAGAAATTTTCCATGCTAGCTCAGCACACACAGCTATACTTAAGGGGAATGCTTCTGATTCTGCTGCTATTAGGACTATCAAGGAGGGTTTAGAGTATGAAACAGTAAGTGGACATAACTAGGTACACACAGATCATTTGAGTCTCTGAGTTCGATTACAATCTAAACATTCTAGTATTATTCGAGTTTGGAGTAGAAAAAGCCACCTGGCACCCCATACAGTGCTAAATTAAGATTGGTCTCGAAATCTACATATCCAGAAACAAGTTTTCATCTAGATCACAGTTACTCAAGGAGTTTTAAAAACTGCATTACAATGGCTTATAACTATACAAGCAAATGAAAATTGGTAATTTAAGTTATTCCGGGCTGTAAACAAAGTCGAATATGACCATCAAAAAAATTCTGGGTCTACTTAGATCAGATATTTAAGAATTTTTGAAACATTATAGTTCTGAACTACCAGTATGGTTGTGGGATAGTTCCTTGTAGAACCTGAATAAAGATAATATATCATACAACTACTTCTTTGACAACTTAAAAAATCTTAGATCCAGAACTGGTTCCCTGATTTTAGGCAATTTTCTAATACCTGAGTTACCTTTTTATTCCCATTCTAGACCACATTGAAATGGTGCACACCAAGAGGTGTAACTGGTACTGAACTACAAAATTGTACAGCCACTTTCCGAATCACCCCTGTTGATGTTAATTCAAGACCATCATTGTGTTTGATTAACTTTCTTTTGAATGGCAGGGCTGTAATGTTGGAAATGCCAAGAAAATCAGGTGGAAAAATTACCAGTCATTTATTAGCGGCACATGGTGGAGAGATATTTATACATACCTTGTGTACTGCTAGGTAAGAACCTGAAATGCTTTTGCGTAAAGCCATGTTTTTCAATGTGAGTGTGCATATACAATATTCTAATTCTTTGTTCAGACCATGACCGCAGATATGTCTGCATTACTCCAAATGTCTTTATCAGATGAAATTGCGTATTCGATTATTATTATTTCCCAATCTCTCGAAAATTATTTTTAGGTCGGTGTTGGAAGATCCCCCATCTATTTCAGAAGGTTGTGGTGGTAGAGTCACAGACTATCGAATCACTGATTTTGGTCTGCTGATAAAACAGAACACTCTGTTACCAATAAAAAATAAAAATCCAGAAGATGGTGTTCTACCAATTCAAAAGATAAAGACTAGGTTGAACAGGCTTACTAGGTATTGGCCTTTAACTATTAGTTCAACATTGATATTCAACTTGAAGCAGGTAAGTTTTGTAGTGGATTTTATACATCATGCATGTTTCGTCTATAACTTCCATCAGCATATCTGGGCAAGCCAACAATACAGTTTTTCTTCATTAAAATCACAGTCATCAACAAATATATCACTTTTTTACCTTGTTTCAGTATTTTGATCCTTTACCATCACTAATTACTAAAGACAGGATTTCAGATGATGAAGTGTTTCAATGTAAAAAGGTTATATATAATCTCATTTCTTTGGAATCAAAAATGGAACCCCTGCATCCCCTAAATACAGGACTCAGGGTAAAAGGACAGAAACGGGAGGAACAATATAAGGTATTGTAACGAAAACACCGTTTTCACTGCTTAAAGTCTAATTTATTACAACACTTGCAACTAATTTATCACAAATTTACGACCATATCGACTGGACTATCGCGCTGACTCATCGTAGACTGTTCTCCGACTTTGCCCTCTTTGTGAATTTATTTGGTGAATCGACGCTTCACGATGCATTCCCGCCTTTTCTATATAGGCTCGATTCCTCTTCCAAGCTGGTAGACGGCTGTCGATTCCTCTTGAAGCAGAAGCAGAAATTTCTATTTGCATCAAATTGTTCTTGCTTTTGATTTATATATCAGCTGTTATATCAGCCTGAAATTTCCTACAATTCAAAAAGAAAACATAGCGTCACAGTAGGCGAGCGCTGGCGCTGACACGGATACAGTATTCTTTGCGATTTCAGAACAATCACTAAAAATAAATTCAGATAACCGGATAAAAAGATATTTCTAAATTCCGAAATGACGTTATTTACTCGGAATCTACAAAGAAAGAAAATGTATTATAAACATATTTTTTTAATTTCTAGGCAATGTGGAATGAACTGGAAATGCTGTTAAAAAACAATTTGCACAGCGAGAATCATAGGAGTGTGTATACGTGTCTCTTAGAATGCCACAAGTTCGATTTTGAAGATGATAAAATAGCGGAAAAAGTTGAACTAGATGAAGCTTTGAATCAACTTGACAATATTGGTGAGTGCATTGATTTTTGTCAGTTTGCTTTTTAGTCTACCAGCAACATTCGTTAACAGTATTGTTTATATTCATTTTTCAAGGATGATACAGTCTAGTATTTGAAATTTGTACACTCTAAGAAGATTAATTTAAATCTTATACTTCAGAATATACTTTTTTGAGTCAGAATATTTGTTTTCCGTCGTAATGAAAATTTTCAAAAATTATGTCTGGCATCGTGTACCGGTCCTTAAATTTCACTTGAAACCTTCTAACCTCTTCTTAGGTCCCGGCAAGCCCGAACCCGGCGACCAACAACGAGCCTCCGTAATTCGCGCCACGACAGACTCGCCGATGTCTCCGCCCCCTTTGACGACGACAGCCCCGCCCTCTTCACGCGCCGCACCAAGATCCGCCCCTGGGGGCATCTACAGCACGCAACGCACGCTGTTCGATATTTTCGCGCAGGCGCAGAACAACGTCAAGCCGAAAATGGAGTTTGTGGGGAGGTTGAACAGCGAGGGTAACGTTGCCAAGTTGTATCCTAATTTGAAAGGAGACGATAGGGGGCCTAGGGAACAGATGGAAGTTGAGTGAGGGTGAAAGAAGAGAAGACTCGGCGTGTGAGTGATGGAAAGCAGGAGCAAGCTAAGGCTGGCATGAACGTCATGTATAGCGAAGTTGTCACAATAACGTTACAATATGGTGTGGCACAGTGCAGTTGGAAATATCGTGGAAAAACTTGAGAATACTTGAATCGACGTAAACATTTTTTCTTTATACATTGATATCTTAGTAAAGCATATTATGAGAATTTGTATCATGAATCATGATTTTGAAGGTGTAGATATAAAAACTTGTATATATCATATCGTGCAAATATAATAATCAAAATTGTCTTCAAGCTGAGTATTCTATAGAATAAACATTGAAATTATACATTTTGTAAATAAACATTTTCCATTAGAGATGACTTTTGTTTATTCCAAATCCAAATATGAGCATAGAAATTCATGAAGATTCATAGGTATAGAAAATGAGCTGCTTGGTATCCTCCGTGTACCTCATTTACTCAATAAATAGGTCTTCATGTAGATGGCAAATGCTTGAATAAGAAAAAAATTTCTTCTGTTGTTATAACCAAATGAAATTTCGTACCCAAATACCTGCTTTACATCAAACATTTCTTCACAAATTTATTCAGATGGATTTCTTCTTCTTATGTTTTGCGGTCAGTACTCAGTGCTGCCAACCACACAACAAACTCTTGCTAGAAACGTCTTGAACTTTTATGTCTATTGTGGTTTTGAATTTGAGGCGAATCTCGTAAGCAGAAACCATATTGTTAAATTCTGTAGTTCTACCAAAGTTCTATGAAATCCTTGAAATTTGTTCAATATAATGGAAAGGAAAACAAGGTTGGCACCATGGAATTTGACGTCCAACTTGGCAAAAAATAAAACAAATTCTAATTTCGTGAAGAAATCCACGACGAACTTCTTGGGTCTATTTGACCTCAAATTCCTGTTTTACACATTTAAAATTTGGCCATGAACTCAAGTCATGAGGAAATGCGTGGATTTATTTTCAATGTAAAACGATTAAATAGGCTATTTTTGGGACAATGAATAGGAATATGATGAAAAATTGTGATGCTTGAGGTCAAATTTGAGGTAGAAAATAGACCCCCTCGTTTGCCAAATTGAAGTCAGATACAGAATCTGCACGCCCTATCCATCCAGGATACTAGTTTTTGATCAAATAACAAATAGGAAGAGGTTTTTGAAAATTACAGCTTTCACTCATAGGAAGAACTGAAAACACCAGAGTACTTTTTGGTGGCAAAATATTGATATTCTGTTAAAATCTACTTTTTTTCCAGATGCCGCATTTTTAGACAGTGATGTCTTCTGGCTTTGATGTCATGTTAATATGATGTAGATTTAACTCTAGTGACAAACATATCTAACAACACATAAATTGTCAAATTTCGTTCTTTCCTTTATTTTAGAATACGTCATGGCAAGAGAGACTACTTCCATATAGCAGCTCTCAGGGAGGGAGTGAGTTTGATCACTAAAAATGCAACAAGTTTTGAAAATCAGTATATCAGTCAATAGATGAAAATTGAATTGAAAAACACTTGAATATATTTTCTAAAAATTATAATTAAATAAATAGAATGTAAGTCCTCAACCAATTTTAACTAAACTGTACTTTGCTGGGATCAAATGGCCCATTGAAAGGTGACCCTTCTGCATTCCAAGCTTTCTCTAATGTCTTGTGCATGGCCATTTCCTCAGATGTTGGCAAGCCTAACCTCTTCCTCTCTTGGTTCCATTGTAACTCCTCAATTTTAGCTTGGGCATCCTCTGGTAGTTCTTCATATGGTCTTGAGCAGTCAATTTGTGAAATATCAATTTCAGGTTCAGACTTCAATAAACAGTTCCACCACATTTCTTTGCTCTTATCCAAGTGAATAATTAGTTTTCCATTGTCCACTGACCAAATAGCATCATTAGCTTTGCATTTTTGACAAAATTCTCCAGAAAGCAGTGTTGTATTCTCTTTGTGTTTCACTGTGATTTTACTCGTTTGAATATTAACATTCAGGTCTTTTCTACTGACATTTTCAGGCAATTTCACAATAACATCCACATCTGTAATTGTCTGTGACCAGCAATAGTTATCGAATGCTGCTCCATTGTAATAATCTGACTTTGAAAACTGACAGTCACTATTTATGGGCAATTTTGGGGCAGTTTGTTTATCTTCAGAGCTGTTTGCAGCTTCTTCCATAACTTCATCACTAATAATTACTTCCTCTCCGTCAGCTGGAATGTCATCTGGTCTCACTGTCTCCGGAGGTTTCATTTTCCATTTGAAAAATGCACTTTGAGCTATCTTTTCTGCAAGACCCTCAGGTAAACCTACTGCAGCCTTTGGATCACTTGCTATATGGTAGAAGTCGGTTCTGCAATTGAAAAATCAATATATTTTTGTCAGAAATCGGAAGTTTATCGTTAGTTACCTCCGATTGAGGAATCCGAAAATTGCGTCCAAGAAGTTGGGAAGAGTTTTGCATTCTTTAAGCATTTCAAACAGCGTGTCATCGTGCTTTGTATTAGCTCCACTCATTTTGTGTCACTTCTGATCAAGAATCAACTCAATTCTTTGGAAAATACAAGTTTCTAGAAATGTTTATAAACAAACCGAATGACCGAAAGCATATGACTGTAGTGACATGGAACAGCAAAAATATGAAGGACAGAGAGTAAGAAAGTAGAGAAGGGAATTATGAGACGTTAGTTACAGGGGGTGATCGTTTCTTATTAGTTGATCGTTTGATCGTAATGTTTGTGATAATGAAAAAAAAATCCATTTTCCTTCTCCGAGGCTAAGCATCAAATTGACGTCGCATATGGAGTGTGCGCAACCGATTTACCCAGGAACTGAGTCTTTGTGTTATCACAGAAATGTGTATACGGAGTGCTACGAAAATTTTGTCATCGGGAACCTGAATATTTCATAGGACTTTATTAAGATTTCAATGTTTGTCTTGCGTTTATAGACCAAACTAATCATGGGAGTGGTATGTCTGACTTTCATGCTGTGGTTTTAGAAACCCTAAGTCGTCAACATACGTTTAAACAAATCTTAACTCATAAATTGACAATTTGACATCGTTTGAAGGAACGAACATAAATAAAATTAATTCACAAATTTTTTCCAAATTTTGGAGAGGCATTCATTTCAGCTGGTCGGAGTCCAAACCTGAAACGGGCGAGTTACCTACTGCAAGCTTAGAATGAATAAATGACGTATAGATTAGGCGTTTTTACAATATTTTGTGACCCCCCACGAGAGCTATAGCTACGTTATGCATTGAACTGCAGTTTTATTGATATGCGAGTGTACATAAAAGTACGCAATCTCAAATCTTATAGCCAGATGCCATCGCTAGTTAGAATTTTATGTTAAAGGTCAGTTATAAAATATATATCTGAATAAATTTTCGTAAGTCGACCTTGAGATACCAGGTACCACCGCGGTTCAGGTGGTTCTCGTATGGTGCTATTGTGAAAGCCGTGCCGGAGCGCTCGCGGGCACATCGTATAAATTTTTTCTAGGTCATCACCGTCGTTTATTCACGATTGGGACTGAATGGTCGACTTCTTCGGCGGTTCTTCAGCTCTTCAGTGCGTTCACTATCGTTGGCCACAATGCCTTCTTGGAACGTGCGTTCGATTGTATTCCATTGAAAAAGTGAATTCTAGTGCGACATGTTTTCGAAGGTAAGTCTGGCGATGTCAGAAAAAAGGTGCGTAAGTTTATGCAGAGCAGGTTTGCAAGTAAGGAAGCATGTGACTAGAATCATAAAGCGGATTGTTGGAAACATAATTTCTTTAAATTGGTCTATTAGCGCGGAGTATATTTGATGGTGTAATTAAATATATCAAATTTTATGTATAACAAAATAATTATCTCTTGAAATCGCGGAAAATAACTTGTAGAAAAGATTTTGTGGTTTTCATTTCGATTCATATCACACACTCTATCCAATCAAAAATAAATCCGTGGTTTATGGAGCGAATATGCATAGTCGTAAATGCTCTAAATTACGAAACGCAAAATTTGTAGAATTAAAAAATATTAGTAGCGAACAGCTCAGTATTTTCAAGATAACGCGCAAATTCGGAAAGCTGTTGATGCTTGATGCAAAATATACGCATCTCAGGGTTAATTTCAAAATGAATATGTATACTGGATGCCAATCAAGTAGTAGTGATTTATTGTAGGAAAAGAAATAATTTACAAGGTATAGATTCCAATGATACAATTGTACAATAAGCCCGGAAGACTTGGGCATTGCAATCAAAGACCTGGCAACTTCCTTAGGTGGTGGTTGGAAAAAGCTTCATATAAAGCGTACAAGAAGTGATGGTTTTAACGACACTAGATTAAATCGAATATTACAAATGCGTCATTAGAACCCACAGGACCCCAAAGGAAACAATTGATGGATAGAAACGGAGTACTAAATAGAAACGAAATTTTGAGGTCTTAATAAACCGTTTCCTTTAATCATTTTTTTCGCAAAGTATATTAAATTTTCGGCGATACGTCTGAATTAAGAAACATTAATAGGGTTGTTGAAAATAAAATTTCTTCAAATTGATCGATTGATATGATGGTGCTATTAAATATAGTAAATCTTATATAAAGCAAAACAATTATCTTTTGAAATCGTAGAAGCGGTCGTAGCGAAAATAACTCGTAGAAAATACCTTGTGGTTTTCACTCTGATTCATATCACTTACTCTATCCAATCAAAAATAAATCCGTGTTTCATGGAGCGAATAGGTATCGTCGGAAATGCGGTTCTAAAATTACAAAACGTAAAATTGGTAGAATTAAAAAAAGTCAGTACTTCCTATTGATGCTTGATGCAAAATATAAGAGTTAAACTCAAAATAAGTGTGTATGCTGGGTATCAATAAAGTATTTGGACAACTTCTTTGGGTGGTTGTTGGCAAAAAGTCCATATAAATAGTGCTTAGTTTTAACAATACAGGGTGTTATTCTTTTCAAGCTTGTAGGATCTTCGCATGCTCAAATGTAACGTTGTAGATCTAGATTAAATCGAATGCGTCAAAAGGACAAAGAGGACCTCAAAGAAAAAAATGGATAATGAGCCCAGCGAATTGAATAGTCATGATATTTTGTGGTTTTAATAAGCTGTTTCTTTTAATAATTTTTTTCGCAAAATAAATTAAATTTCCGGCGATACGTCTGAACCTACTGAATTTAAGTAAATGATAACTGAACCACTTAACAAAATATTACAATTTAATAAAAAAACAGATTTTGAAAGTAAGTTTTAAATGTTATGACTTCTAAACGAAGCTCTAGTATAATTATAATATAATAATAATAGCTTCATTATCCAACGGTTTCCCAATTACAGGATAATATAACAATTAAATTACATGCCCTTGTGTGCTATTATGCGTTTAAAAAATAATATAAATTAAATTCAAGCGGATAACCAAATGAAAATAGTATTTACCATTTTGGGTTGGTATTTACCGATAAGTTCAAGCAAGTGTGGTTATCAGTTTGGTTAAGATCCGTGACGTCATGAATCAGCTGTTATATGTCATAGTTATCACCGCAAAATTGTGGTATTTACCCAACTCAGGAGTAGTTTTATATTTCTGGTTATTATTTGAAATGTGACAAGTTAGAATTTTGCCGGGTATTGGATATTGTTATTGTACTTCAGCTTCATTTTTGGGAAACTTGATACACGCTGACTTCAGTGTTAGCATAAAGAGGAGCACCTTATTACTTATACTCATTATTGTCAATCTAGTTCCTATGTTTAACAAAGTATCCTGTGTAGCCATATACCACAAGAATATTCAAATATGGCCATTTAACTCACTGGATGATGTCCACCTGTACAAGGTTTTGCTAATCTCTTTTTTCATCGCTTTTTCCTACCATTTCTGCTAAATCAATAAATGTTTTCTTTGACATGCGGAAAACTTTAGAGAATTGGAAGTTATCATAGCTACAAAACCATGGTTCCATCATTAAAAAAAATTTTCTGAAAAAAATAACATTTCTCCCATGAATATTATGAAAGGTTTCTTACTTAAACTTTCCATACGCCGTTGTAGACAAAAAAGCACCGATTATTAAGTGATCATAAAAATAATCAGAGATTATATACGCACTTTTCTAAAATAAACAACTTGCAACAAAACTGCGGTTAAAACCAACGCGTTCAAGCGATTCGTGTAACTGACGTCATCAACCTGTGTGTCATCTTGAACCATATTATAACCGCGGCACATAACACAGAAATTTTGGTTATTCGCTTGGATTTGATTATAATGTAATAACTAAAGGAATAATTATTTTTATTATGTATTAAACTCTAAAACAGAGATGCAGATAATTAAACCAATACAAGAATTCAAAATTAGTTCCATAACCTCTTTGCTGATCTGATAAACTCATTCAGTGTACAGAAAAATACATCACAACGGCTTAAGATTAATTTATCACACATAACATAGACTGCAGGCTTAAATAACATATTAGCCTTAGATCTAGGTAGCTTAAATGTCGCATTATGCCGCGATGAATATGGAGGCACAGCAAGAGCAACTCGCCCCAGAAGATCAGAACAATCAACATATCCATGCAACAATTTAAATAAAAAAACAACGCCAGCGTAAAGTGTTTTATATGCTCTAAGGCCCGTATCGTCAGTCGTCCCTACAATTGTAGGGCGCCTTTATGGCTTCCTTGATTGTCATAGTTTTCTACTTCTCCGCGTCAGCGCTCTATTTTGAGGTTATGGCACAAACATCTATTTGCATCAAATTGTGCTTGCTTTTGAGTTATATCATGTTTTATCAGCCTGAAATTTCCTACAATTTGAAAAGAAAACATATCTTCACAATAGGAGAGCGCTGACGCTGACACGGGACAAGTGTAGTCTAGAAATTTTCGAAGGAGAGAAAGGAGTATGGCAATCAAGCAGGCCATAAACGCGCCCTACAATTGTAGGGACGACTGACGATACCGGCCTAAACTAGGTATTTTAAATCTACTACATAGCTCATAATTATTGATTCCCCTGTCGGGATGATTGCGGTCAACTTTAAAGGCTGAACTCGTTCAAACACAAATTTTATACACCTCATAATTTATGGATTCCATATAATATTGGTATATTCAAGTTTCGATGTAGTGTAAGTGAAGTAAAGTATTTTAATAGTGCTGATATTGTCAAAGCTCCTACAATTCTTTATCAAAAATGCATATGTTCTTAATGATTCAGTTTTGTCAATATGTTTAGAAAAAGACAACTTATAATCGAAAATAACACCTAAATCCCTAACCTCTGTACATCTAAACAGGTTCTTTCCATCAATATTGTATTTAAAATTTATGTGAAACTCACCACCTTACACTCTTATACATGGTGACTTTGAAGTTGAGTCATTAATTTTCAGATAATGATTGTAGAAGGAAGATAAACCAAAATATGTGTGTAAAAATAAAAAAAAAATTAAAAAAAATTTTTTACCATGTTTTATAAAGTATTCTCCCGACAAGTATTTCAGTGCGGACCTGTATTTGATCGTGAGGTCCCCTGTGAGGTCTTAAGTCACCTGATTCACGAGCCCGTTGTACTACATTAACAAAGGCACGAGGGGTTGGTTGCACTCGATTGGGAAACCGATCCGCATAAACATGTGCCATTTTGTATTTCGTTTGAGCCACGCAACACACTATTCACTAACATTGACTGTATACAAATGAATAAAATAATTGTAAAAACATCGTTCCAAATTCTTTCGCTTTTTTGTTTCCGACGCGATGAACCGATACGGCGGATTATATCCGTTGTCGCCAAACACGAGCACATAATATTATTATTGAGACAGGGCGGTACTCAAACTTCCTAAGGGCTATAACTTTGTTACTTTAATTTTACCAGAAAAATGGTAAAGGAAAAAACATTTCTTTTGATCAGTTCTACTCACTATTAAAATAAATGACTCAACTTCGAAGTCACCCTGTCACCCATTTAGTGTTAATTTATTATCGTTACACCAAATTTGGTTGGCTCTGAAGTTCCAAGCAATTACTGACGTTAGACATTGTGCGATATAATTTTAAATCATCAGCAAAACCGAGTTTTTCTATTGTTAAAGCATCCAACAAATTATTGATAAAAATTATAAAACGGAACGGTCCCAAGTTTGATCCTCGCGGAACTCCAGATATAGCTCCATAGGCTTCCGACTTAAGGCACCCATTATACGAGTCAAATTGTTTCCTGTCTGTTAAGAATGATATCACAAACTTCACAGCCTCACCAGAAAATACAAAATCTATTAATTTGTAAACCAAAACGCTATGGTCAATTTTATCAAAAGCTTCAGCGAAATCCGTGTACATTACGTCTACCTGGCTACTATCATCAAGAGCTTCTGATATGTATTGAGAGTTAGGTACTTTCTTAGCAGACGGTCTCAAATCATTTGAAATCTGGATCAATCTGATAGAACAAGCCCTCTCAGGTGTCTACTGACACAGGAAAGTCCAAAATTGGATCATTAAAACTTCTTGATTTAACTGCTGATCCAATATGAAAAAATCTACAGTATCTTGCAGAAAAACATGTACAGAACAGATTCGTAGTTGTAAATATGTGGTAATTTTGTATTAATACTTAAGGTTACGTTTCATCATTTAGCACTATTAGAATGTATGACGAAATAACCTCGTGAGTTACTAATGTTTACATTTTATTTTATTACATGAAATTTATAATGTTGGACCCGTGGAGATTCCATCTAGGTGCATTGTTAATGAACTGGTTTCAAGATCAAGCAGCTTTTGCAATGTAGTATAAATTAATCAATTACGAAATGAAGAAATGAACATTCACGGTTCTGGCGTTAAATGCTTGATAATTATTCAAAAAGGAAAATAACCCAATCACCGACTCATTTCCATTAATGATTTTGATACTAGTTGCAAAAAAACATAGATTGTTATGTAATATGAACATGAAATCACAGCAGGCGAAAGTGACAATTACGAGTGTCTGCTTTTGATTACGCTGAGGCAATGAAAATGAACCAATTTTAAACTAATAGATCTAGAAAAGTTGTATTTGCTACAAGAGAATTATGGCGAGACGCTTTTGTATCTCCAACTTCCAAATATGAGGATTTTATGAGGAAAAATTTGTACGCAGCATATATTTTTACTTCTCTGGTGTGAGGCATATACAATGTCAACAATTCTATATACAACAACTATTATATATTCGCAAGTCGCGACCAAAAATGGGGGGTCTTCTACATACCATATTTTCCTCGCGGGCCTCACTAACAAGATATACCCCGTATCATTGGCCTGCGAGGTCTCCTGAATTGAACCCAGTGGATTTCTTTCTGTGGGGCGCTTTTAAAAAACTAGTGTATGCTGAACAAATTAATACTGTTGATCAGTTACAAGAAAGAATAGATAATGCGTTTCATCAAATACAAACCACAACAAATTTTCCGGAAATAGGTTTTTCTTTATTAAAAAGATGCCGCACTTGTACGTCAGATCTTTTTGAACATTTATTGGAATAAAGCTTTGATTATCTAATTTGTTTTTTTTATTTTTACGAAAACAATGAACTCTAGGAAAAAACACAAGAGTAATTATGTGTAGCAAATTGAAGGTAAAATACGAAAATTGCACATTTAGAAAAAAAAACAGTGGCGTACTATTTCTATTTGGAAAAATAACGTCACTAATCCCCTGTATCTCCGCCACTGGAACACGTTAATTTTAAGTAGAGAATTTTGAATGTGGACAATACTTAGGTAAATCCACATAACAAATTTTAGTTCACGGCTTAGCTGACGGTTTTGAAGATATTAAAAATAATTATATTTTATGTTTAAATTTCAAGACCGTATATTTTTAATGAAGTCGTCGATGAAAAAATGCTACATAGAAGACCCCCCTTAAAATGCGGTCCTGTGTGTGATGTTTCACTTTTGGTCACGACTTGTGAATCACCCTGTATAGACGTCACGATTACAAACAAGAGATTAACGATTTTTTTATAAATAACCCAGGAAGTTTCAGTAGAAGATTTTTCTGAAAAGGTCTTGACGTGCTTTTATCTAAATGCCCAGAGCTATACGATGAATGTTTCCAAATATTTTTCACTTTAGCTATTGTACCGGAAACGAACGCTTATAGCGAGAAAATGTACGCAGGCAAAATGTCACGCCTTGTCCAAACAAACATTGAGGCTATCCAGCTCTTCAGCGCCTCCAGGGAATATTCTCATACAAGAAGATGAAACTGTACAGCATGTCAAACCTTACTCAGAAATTCCCGGTCCAAGGGCTATACCGATTTTAGGAAATACCTGGAGAGTAATGCCTATTATTGGCCAGTATGATATCTCGGATACGGCCAAGGTATCATTTGAGTTGCATAGAGAATATGGGAAAATTGTAAAGTTGTCGAATTTGGTAAGTATCTTAAAATGATGCTTTAGTTTTGTACAGAAATGTATCTGTTACGCTAGAACCTAAAATATACAAACATCATGTCAGATGCCCTCTTATGTAAACTTCTGTCCTATGACCTCACATTTTTCTAATGACTTGGTGACACTTAAAAATTCACTGTAGTGAGAACAGTAGCATTGTTGTGAAACTTTGAATTTAAGTTTACTAAAGAGTGAGGTTAAGATTCAGTACTGACGCTCGATCCGCGTGGCCTACTATGTTCTATATGCAAAACTTAAAAGACATCCCTCGTATAACGCCCAAAAACAAAATATCTCGTTTTCGATTTTTTTTTTGCGTTTCAATAATAATAATAATAATTTATTCGCACAATTCATCACAGTATAAAATATTTAAGAAAGGAAGAAATTAGCGAATAAACGATGATGATGGTGATGAATGAAAAATAAATACCTCCACCCTAGTGACGTAAGGAGTAAAAATTGATGCAGAACCATGCCGTAGATAAAAACATACAAAATCGATCTAAACTTTCACTTATTTACCAGTAGGTCAGCCTTAGATTACTGCCAAAACCGTCCAGCATTATACACCTAAAACCAAGGCATCAAAACCGATATGTACTTGTTAAACATGAATTCAGAATCTCTTTTGAATGATAATGTTCTCGTTTTCAAATTTCTGAAGAAAGAGAAAAGAAAAGATACAAATTTATTTTAGGTAGGCAGACCAGATTTGTTGTTTCTTTACGATGCAGATGAAATAGAAAAAGTCTACAGACAGGAAAGTGTTACCCCATTTAGACCTTCAATGCCTTGTTTGGTGAAGTACAAGGGCGATGTAAGGAAGGATTTTTTTGGTACCTTAGGAGGAGTTGTTGGAGTGTAAGTTATATTTATTTTGAATTTGGTTAACTGACTACAGACTATAGTGCGAATAAGCCAAGTCTAGCATCTCATGTTCATGAACTCCAAGCTGCTAAACATGATGCAAGCAGACCTCATTTACTTCACAGCCAGAATCGTCAGCCGTCTAGCGGTCACGTGCTGCATGGTGGTAGGTTCTGTTATGATAGATGGCGCTTTACGCTCTCATACTGTTGACTCACACTTCTCCGATTCTTCTTAATGATTTTTTTCTTCTGACAAGAAGTATTTTTATTTTGCAGACATGGAGAACCGTGGAAAAAATTCCGAACTACCGTTCAAAAGCCCATATTGCAAGTTCAAACAGTAAAAAAGTACATTGAGCCTATTGAAGATGTTACCAAAGATTTCATTTCAAAGTAAGTATTCTTAAAAATATATTTATTTGTATTATTGGATAGTTTAATGTAATTTTCAGGATGTTAGCGATGAAAGATGAAAACGGAGAGATGCCAAGTGACTTTGATAACGAAATTCATAAATGGGCGCTAGAATGTAAGTTGACATCTATAATTTCATATAATAATATCTTTACTGAAAAAGTATCGACAAATAGTCAAGAACATAAAATGAATAAAATACGTTGTGATTCTGTCGACACTAATGTCAAAGCTACAATAAATTAAGTAATACAAACATAATGTACAGAAAGTAACAGCCAATACAAACAGATCAAAGAAAAAGTGAATAAATAACTAATAAGATTATTTATTTATTCAAAGACATCTTTCATTTTTACCAACCAGTAGAAGACGATAATGTTTTGTTCTTGTTTAGTCTTATCAGTCTGATGTACGATGTAAAAAGCGATTGGAATATTGTTTGATGAACACCTTTTTTACCTTCTCTAAAGATTTCCTATACTATAACTATCTAAAACTGTAATGACTCATCGATGTTCACGTGAACATCACTTAACTACCAGTAGTCGGCTGTTCATAGGTGGGGTATGAATGTTTAACATGGGTGAACTAGATTTGTCACATGCTTAATAAAGAGTGGTTTGAAACATATTGTAAGTCAAAAATTTGGGAATTACCTTTATTCATCGTCGCTTCCACTTACATCTGACAGTAATAAACTGTCGCTATCGCTTTCCTCGTTGAAATTGACTATAACTGGCTCTATGATGGTGTCGATGTGGTGGTCAAGCTGCCACATTTTTGTTTCTTCCTTCACAACATGACGGATAGCATTCTGCCAAGCTTCGGGCGTTACTAGCTGTGTGGAAGTCTCAAGTAAAACCTTAACGTCTGGTAATTTGAAGGTTGTGTTATGGCGCGCAATATAACCCTTCACTTGAGCCCAGATGAGCTCTATTGGGTTCAGTTCACAGTGGTAGGGCGCTAACCGCAGCACAGTGACACCACATTGACGGGCCATCTCATCAGTCACGTAACTAATGTTCGCAGGTTTGTGCTGTTTAATTTTTTCATACAATTCCGCTTTCACACATGAATCGTCAAACGGGATTCCTTTTTCGCGCAACCATTGCTGCATGTCACTTTTTTCGAGATCCCATAGTCGGTACACGTTCGGCTCGACGACTATGGTAGGAAGCATTATCCATGACGATCACAGAGTTGGGCTCAACTCGCTGAAGCACCCCTTGAAACCAGCTCTCGAAGCAGCTGGCATTCATTTCGTCATGGTAATCACCTCCTTTCTTAGAGACGAAAATCAAGTCACACTCTTCTAAAAAGCCACTATCGCTACCAATATTAGTTACGATCAATCTTTGACCTTTCCCTGACGGTCCACGAAGACCTGTTGACAAACCTTCAATGCTTGCTTGTCGGTTACTCACTACGTTTTTGTCTATCCAGGTTTTTTTAACTGTGTGACCTGCATTTACCCATGTCTCGTCCAAATAATAGATTTTTCTGCTTTGTCGCCTATATTCAATCATTTCGCGTAGGTATTTTCGACGCCAGGCGACTATTTCAGGTCTCTCGAACAATACTGACTTCCGATTACGCGTTTCGTAACGAAAATTAATTTCGTGCAGGGATTTCCTCATTACCTCGACGCTCATTTGGGGTATAATTTCATTTTCCTTGATCGCTGCATGTACAGCCTTGAGGGTTGCTATCTCATTCCTAAAGAAGAATGAATGTACGGTTCGCCTTAACGCCATTTTGCTATCGTCATCCAATTTAACGGCCTTTCGTCCCTTCAAATTAAACTTTGGATCAGTAGTAGCTCCAGTTTTCTTCTTTTCATGCACCACCCTGCGAATGGTCCACTCTAGAACGCCTGTCATACTTTCACAACGCGCGAGTGCATCTCCCTGCGACATAGTTCTGTTCAGATAATTGAATACGTTGAGCACGATTTCTTTCGCGTCCCTCTTCAGTGCTTTACGAAGCCGTCTACTTGTTCCCTGGCTTTCAGTACTTCCACTCGTGCCATTTGTACTCTCCATGGTTAAGTATAACCAAAACAGTAACCACAGAAACCACAAAAATAACAATCACACAACAATTCTTATAAAAACACACAATATGCGATCGCTCAACGAAACACGTTCCAATGCATTGCCGACGCCTATGAGTCTACCGGTTGAGGCGCGTCTTTGATTTCATTGGTTCTACCGGCGGAGAACAATCAGCCATTATTTCCATCTCTGTCTGTGCTGTTGACCACCGCAAAGCCACAGAAACGACATATGGCGTACGCTATACGGCTGTACTGGAAGGAAGCCGGGATCGAGCTCTGATCACGTGTTGATCACGCGTATGAGTCATTACAGTTTTAAATAGTTGTAGTATAGTTACCTGACAAATATTGTTAACAAAAACTTAATATTTACCTATAGGTATAGGTAGAGTAGCGTTAGACACAAGGCTGGGCTGTATGGATCCACACTTACCTCCTGATTCAGAACCTCAAAAAATTATAGATGCCGCAAAGTACGCTTTGCGTAACATAGCTATAATGGAGCTGAGATTTCCATTTTGGAGGTATTTTCCTACAACGCTGTGGACCCGATATGTTGCCAATATGGACTATTTTGTCGAGTAAGTCTAGTTTCTTTGTATTTTAGCTACTAACGAAATATTTTTAAAAATATAGTTACAATCCCTAGTAGACGAGGATAAACCGAATTATCTTGAAAATGGACGCAAATAATCTATTTTAGCTAATGTAATTTGGTCTATTATGTATCTAATGAAGAAATACACTAAACCAAAACAGTGATCATCGCGTGATTATTGCGTGATCAGTACACTGATATATTTCAAGAGAGAGGGGGCATAACTGTTATTGGGCAGAATTGGTCGAACCCTTACACAAGACCAATGACAAACCAGAGGGTGGAGTGGGAGACGGTGCAACCGTGCATGCAGGCTTGTCACTTTAGCTTCGTAGAACTCAAAATGGATACAGCTGATGAAGCTGTTGATATAAGCTGCACACCGCCTAAAAAAAGAGCTAAAAGTCTTCATTTTAAAAACAAATAATTATCAACATTTATAAATACGAAATGCAAGGAAGGAGCGACTCAAGTGTTCAGGACATTGTTTGCAAAGCTGACATCTACATATTTTTCAATACTTGTAAGACGAGGAATTTCAACTAAAATCATATTTTATTTTTGTTTCTGTACATGCTTAAACTATATCGAGATAAGAAATCAAGCAATCATTTTGTTGGGTTTTGAATGCTTTCAATGGGAGCGGTTTTAAAGTGTCCAAAATGAATTATTTTTAGGAAAAGGTAAGCGATTGATAATTTGCCACATCGGGGTTTGTGTCCGATGCTTTATGGGCATTTGAATCCGAAAAAACGGGAGACTACCATGTAGAAATGGATGGAGCCTCGTTCGAAAATTGGTTCTCAAATAGGTACTCTACCGAAGCTTGAAGATAATTCGGTTATAGTATTAGATAATGCTTCATTCCACACGAGAAAATTCCAACAACGTTAACCAAAAAATCAGAAATTCAAGGATGACTTAAAAATAAAAAGATTGATTATGATGATACAACGGTTAAGACATAATTGTTACAAATTGTCAAGACGCATAAAAATAAATATAACCTGAACATATACTAAGTGACATATAAATCCGAACACCCAGTTTAAATGGTTTTATTTTAATAAAAGTTGGTGAATGTATTTATCTTACTGTAAATAACAAGTGAAAAAAATTTCAGCCTTTACAGTTGGACATTCCGGTTTTTATACTGCTTTTTTTTAATTCACTAACGCTCTAAAAATGAATATTTCAGCCGCAGTAAAGAATCAACGTTGGCGGATGTTGGTTCTTGACATCCTTTATGATCGGTTACGATGCCTAGAGTACGGAGACCTGTACGATTTCGTCAACTTAGTGAGTTTGATAGGGGCCATATAGTGGGACTTCGGGAAGCTGGACCTTCTTTTCGGGCAATTGCAGTTAGAGTGCAAAGAAGTGTAGACACTGTGGTTAGGTGTTGTCAGGCATGGCTTCGAGAAGGCCGTACGCAAAGAGCAAGGGGCACTGGACGCCGCCGTAGAACAACAGACCGTGAAGATCGCCGCCTAAGATTATTGGCCTTAAGGGACCGTTTCTCGACTACCAGGTCCATTGCAAATGGATGGTTTGCAGAACATGGAAGACCTATTGGCATGCGAAGTGTTTACCGACGAATGAGAAGTTTTTTCTTGTTATCATACCGGCCACACTGGGTCCTCCCTTTAACTGGAGAACACCGACGTAATCGCCTTGAGTGGTGCAAACAACGGTCACTCTGGGATCAGGAATGGAACACTATTGTCTTTAGTGACGAGTCTCAATTTTGTTTAGGCATGCACGATGGTCGTGCCAGGGTTAGAAGGCGACGTGGTGAAAGGAGGAATCGACAGTTTTTTGTTGAAAGACATGTTCATCACACTGTTGGAGTTATGGTTTGGGGTGCTATAGCTTATAGTTCCAGGTCACTTTTAATCTTCATCAGAGGTAACATGAACGCGCAGCGTTATATCCACGAAGTTCTAGAACCCCATCTTTTACCCTATCTTGACACCCTGGCAGATCCAACTTTCCAACAAGATAATGCCCGACCACATGTTGCAAGAGTCACAATAGACTTCTTTCAACATAATGATGTCACATTGTTACCATGGCCACCAAGATCTCCCGACTTATCCCCAATTGAGCACGTGTGGGATATGATGGGTAGGAGATTGCTCAATTTGCGACGTCCTCCTCAGACTCTAGAAGCACTTCGAGAGGAGTTGGTGGTTGCCTGGAATGAGATACCACAGGAGGACATTGACCACCTGATCAGAAGCATGCCTAGGCGCGTTGGAGAATGCGTAGCACATCAGGGTGCATCCACACATTATTAAAGGTCAAAGGGCTTTAAAGCAGTGCAATCATTTTGAAATTTTTATCATTTACTTATTATGCTTCATTAAGTACTTATACAAAATTTTATTAAAATAAAACCATTTAAACTGGGTGTTCGGATTTATATGTCACTTAGTATAATTGATGAGATGGACAACAAAATAAAACTGTTTTACGGCTGCCTCCTTACCATTGTGAGCTCAGTCCGATTGAGCTCATTTGGACAGACGTAAAAATATATGTTGCAGCAGAAAATAAATGTTTTAAATTTTAAAAATAAAAATATTTTTCATGATCTATACAAAGAATAACACCGAATAAGTGGGAAAATGTATCAGCATGTAAAAGAAAAGGTCGAACCTAAAATGTGGGAATTAGACGGTATCATTGATACTCACGTTGCCCCTTCAATCATAAATCTTGATGACAGAAATATATGTATTTCTGGCTTTAGAGGTAAAATGTCTGTGCAATAAATTTTTGTATAATATTTAGTATATATTATTATGCATTCAAATCCTTGTTCTTTCAACTCCACCTATCTATTCATTTTTTAGTCTAATATTTAAATTAACTGTTTGCACACTGACGTCCCTGTTCAAGCGGTGGTTAGGTATACTCGTATGCATATGGATTTATCGTTTTGATGTGTCAATACCTTTTTTAAATGCGCCTTACCACACATTTCGAGTATAATTTCTTGATAAAACACTTCTACTAAAAACAACAATATACAGTTTGTTTTCTTTTTGGTCATGATAGTTAAATAAAAAAAATACATTAATTCCAAGCTTAACGTTTGGACCCTATACATGCCTGCAATGATTTTGCATACTTTTCGATCGTGTCGTTGAACCACAAATCATTTATTCTTAGTACGACCCTGTAACGTGCTCGGCGTTCTGGAGCGCGATCACGTGGAGTATATATTATGTGAATATGTTTAGGTTTGGTCTCTTTCTTCAATGGATACATAATAGGTAGATAATATTCCTCTAAATATGGCTATCAAGCTAAGAGGTGGATGGCAGCCTAACCCAGGGAAGTCGATCTATTTTTTAAAAAAATGCGGATAAGTAAAAGTAAGAGGTATTCATTTTCTGCCACAGAGTGAATTTCAGACCAGTATATAATACTTATGTTATGATTTCATCTTTACAGCGAATGTACAGGACGCGGTGAAAACACAAATATAGAATGTTTTCTTTTTAAGTGCATTTTCCGAAAATACTGCTACTGGAAAAGCAGAGAGTTGGAGACTCTGACATGATTAACATTTATATAATTTTTTTCAAATCTAAGAGAATTCTGAGGAACTATGCTGATCAGGACACATTTGGGTCCTCCATATATTTATAGGCTTATCTACATACAGGGTGTTCATTTGAAAGCTTTCTACCAAGGATTCATCGAAAACCACTGATTAAAAGAAAAAACGCCGAGGCAAGTCAAAAGATTTGTCAAGTGGAACAACTTTTTAACCAAAAACTACTTAACCCGCTTTCACCCCCAGCCCACCAGGGTCATTCCCTTGAAAATTTTGAATGACAAGGAGTATCGGGTAATAGGTATTTCAAAGTCGTTTATTTTGACGTTTGATTTTTCAAAATCAGACGATTCGTTTTCGTGAAAATTAGAAAAATATTTATCTTGATTTGTTCGAATAGAAAACAACAACACAGGAAAATAACACTTTTTATTTCAATAAGTGTGCAAAATGTTGCCTGTTAAGGTTTGCCAAATCTACAATTCGTTTATAATTTCAAACGGAAACTACCAACATAAACAGCAATTCGGAAAATCAGACGTGGAAATGACCATATAACAACCCGAATTTTTTTCCGCATTCTTTCCATCAACACAGATATCCTGGGCGAACTGTATTTCACTGAAAGTTTGAATAAACTTCGTCAACGTATTATCAAAAGCTGCCATGATATCCCACAACATGTTTTTGAAAACGTCCGACAGGAATTTGAACATCGCCTATATCATTGTTTATTCCAGAGTTCCCAAAGCTTTTTTGTGTCGTAGACCCCTTGCCATGTTTTTCCGTGTTGGGTAGACCCCCTACTTACCTGATATTGATTTCTAACTGTAGTGAAGTTTAGTGTTAAAAACTTAAAGTAAAAACACATGTTAATTTATACATTTATTAATTGAATTTAAATTAAAACTACTCAAAATAAAATTTTGTATCTGTTATGTAAAATATACGTAACATTAAATAAACAGGTGTCTGACCAATAAGTTCCCGCATTGGGAATAAGTGCCCGCATTGAAAAAAAAAATAAGAGGGATAAAATAAAAAAAAAGTGAAAAATAATAAAAAAAAATTTTTACTTAAAATAGTACAATAAGCGAGTTCGTTTATTAATTATAACATAAACGTATGTTCTACAATAATTTCACTGTTAGTTTGATTAAATTCCGCTTCTTATACGTTTAAGTTATCTAAAAATAGGCAAAAAATTAATGTTTTGTGTACCTATCCTTGAATTTTCAGAATAATTTAAAAAAAAATATTTTCTATAAAGGGGGGTTCTTTCAAAAAATCAATGCGGGCATTTATTGGGCAGACACCAATAAACATAAAATAAACTATAAATAAAATAACATAAGCAATAAGTCAATATTTTTAGTGAGAAGGATGAACCTGATGCTTTAATAATAAATTATCAACATTTGAAGTCAATTTTTTAAGGGTTAATCTTAAATCTCCTCAGCTAATGGTGTCCAGTCTGTTTCTCTTTTTCGATAGGAGATTGGTAACAGTGCTGAACCCCCTTTCCACTAGGTATGACGATGGAAAGGAAATTAAAAATTTCCTCGCTATATTCCATAATACGAGATAAGTAACGGGTATGTTGTTTTGCAGCCAGAATTGCTGATATCCGATTTTAAACTGAACCTTAAGTTCTTCGTTTGTACTTAGTTCAGTCAGTTCCTCTTGTATTATGACATTCGTTTCTTCTATGTCACCATATGGATTAATTATCCACGGTGGTATTACCATAGTCAAAATATCCTCAAACCTAGATTCAAAATCTGAATAGAGGGCATTTAAATGTTGAACGTACGTTGAAACGTCGTCTTCCTGGCAGCTTGTCTGTGGCAAATTGGGGAACTGAGAAAATTCGCCCCGTCCAATCTTTTGCTTCATTAGTTTAGCTCTGGCAAGAAACGCTGATAAGATGGACTTTGTTTTAATCAAATTTAAACTGTCGCCTTGTAATTGCAAATTAACCATATTAAATTTTGTAAACAAATCTGTTAAATAGTCTGTTTTCCTCTTCATTAAATTTTCTTTTAAAATTTTATTTTTAGTATCCAGAAATTCTAAAATTGTCTCAAAAAGTGCAAAAAATCTTGTCAAACATACGCCTTTCGACAGCCAGCGTACTTCAGTGTGAAGGAATAATTGATTAAAGTGTTCGTCATTTTCTTCACACAACTGCGCAAATAACCGCGTATTCAACGCTTTGCTTCGGATTCGGTTTACTGCATCAATGACTAAATGAAGTGATTCATGCAATCTAACACTCAAATTTTTAGCAACTAAATGTTGTCGATGGATGACGCAATGTATTGCTAACACCCCTGACACATTTTGTTTTAAATAACTTATAAATCCAGGATAACGTCCAACCATGGCAGGTGCTCCATCTGTAGCTACTAATATTATATTTGATAAAGGAATTGCTTTTTCAATGAAGTAATCCTTCAAAACATGAAATATTGATTCACCTTTAGTGTCGGTTATCAAAGTTCTTGCGAAGAGCAGTTCTTCGTAGATTTCTTGATTCATAATAAAACGAACATATGCCAATAATAATGCTGCATTATCAGGTAAAGTTGACTCGTCCAGTTGTATAGAGAAATGGGTCGTTTGCAAATAATTACATAAGAAGGTTTCAATATCAGAACTCATTTTATCAATACGTCTTTCAACAGTATTGTTGCTTAAGGGAATTCTTTTAATGATATCAGATGCAGGTTTGTGTAAAACAGTTTTTAAAACCTCTGGCTGGCAAAATTAACTACTGTCCGATAGTATGCGGTTTTCCGGATTTTGCTATAAGTAACGAGATATTGTAAGACGCCCGCAAACCATCATCATTTATTTGCGACGTCGAAGCGAACATTCTGTCCAGTGTAGGTCTCTTCTGAAATTTATCTTTGAGTGTTTGAAAGTATTTCAAATCTTTCTTTGTTTTATCAGGGTGGCATCTTCTCAGATGATCTTGCAGTTTAGATGGTTTCATAGCGTCATTGCACAAAACTTTGTTGCATAAAAGGCACATAGGCGATTGTTTGTCCGGCAATGATGGAATGAAGCCAAATTTCAAATAATCAACACTGTACTGTCTACATTTCTTTTTAGATTCGAACATAGCATCAGTCATCTGTGGGCAAAATTAAATTATTTAAATAAGACAGAAAATCCAGCAGCTGTATATTAAAATTTTTGTTTGATTTTTCCGAAAACATTCCATAATTCGAACATCTTCTTGCAACAATTAGCTCGAATTACGGAGATTGCACTGTAATTATATTACCGATTGCTAAAACTTTCAAAAAGAAACTATTGAGGAGTACTCGTGTAATTTTGCATGATTGAATATTTAACTACTAATAACTAAAATCATAATTGGCGTAATTTATCTATCTTTGCTAACTACGAGTACAAAACTAAAATTTAATAAAAAATAATGTACTTACTTTTCTCAAGCACTCTCAAACAAAATAACACTGACTCACTATAAATTGTGTGATACACTATCTGTTTATATTTTTTAAAATATTTTCTTAGCACTGTCCTTTTCAAGATTCAGGAAACGAATAAACGTATTTGTCCCACATTCGTATTTATAGAGTGACGAATTGAACAAGTCAGTGCAAGGTAGCGAAGCTCTGAGACTGCGACTCTCAGGTTTTTACAAGTTCAAAATGTATTGCGACCACAAAGCGAATACCAACATCCTACAACTTTACCTACAATTTTATAAACATATATAATAAATTTTTTACTTCATAGGGACTTTTATAAATAATGTATATGTTTTGATATTATAAGATAGTATGATGTAAGTAAATAGGTACTATCAGTGTATGTGTTGAGATCCACTATCGTGGACCCCCATATTCATTTCATGGACCCCCAAATTTTTTTTCGCTGACGTAGACCCCTTGCAGGTTGGGAATCGATGGTTTAGCCAATTACGGCCAACATTTTGACACTTTTTGTGTTTTTGTTTTCTATTTGAACAAATTAAGATAAACAAAGATTTTTCAAAGTTTTCAACACCGTGAACAATTTCACACTTCTCTGACGGCTTAGATCCTTTTCACCGTTCCACTTGGGGTTTGATATATTATGCTGCTTCCGACCATTGTTATGGACAGTAAAACTTCCAAACATCGTTAAGCAACACGACAATAATGTTTTTACTATGCATCGCGCACCTGATAATAACAACATTCGATGTTTGGAAAGTGAAACTGGGGCCAATTTTAGATGAATGTGCAACGGTAAATGATGATTACTATTGCACAACTGTTAATGATTGTGCCTTCGGATGAAAGTGGCGATGATAATTATTATTATAGTGCGAAATATCATATGGTACGAATGCGTGTTGCAATAATGAGTCAGAGTTGCAAATTATACAACTGAGATATCCTTTACTCATTAGATATACTTCTAAATACCGGGGGCCCGCGGATGCTATAACGAGCTTAAAGAGACTTAGTTAAACCAATTCTTGAATTGTCTAAGGGTAGTAGAACTGAAAAAACCTCATCAAGCAGATTGTTACACAATCTCGAAGCCCTAGGGAGAGGAGCGGTCGTATTGGCCAGTTCTAGATGTACGAATTTCGACAAGGCCAGAATGGAAGGGCAGACGTCGTTTGGGTCTGTTTGGTAGGCTCATTGCGTGGCAGCATCATGGATAAGAGCTCTGATGAGCAAAGCCCTTTGACATAACGGTAGAAGAGAGATAGATCAGTGCGGAAGGGTCTCGATAATCTCCGTTAGAGGAAAGTCATCGCTCAGTCGGACAGCCCTGGTCTGGACAGCCTCAATCATGGATGGTGGTAGTCGGGGCGGCAGCACCTCAAATATAATACAGTGGACCCCCGATAATCCGGCCCCGGTCTAATCCGGCGCCCCCTGTAATCCGACATGTCTTTGAATATGTATTACATACATACGTATTTGACAATCTTCGCTTATGTAGATCACGCAGGTTTGAACAGGTTCAACTTGTACGCGCCACCGCTATCGTGCTCGACGCGTAAGCCTTGTTTTACTTAGTTTGAATTTGACTACTTGTGATAGCGGTACGGCCTAGCGTGCGGTCATTGTTTACTATTTATTCATTGTGTATTAAGTATAGTACCTAGTAATTTCATCACAAACTCAGAAGCGAAAGCACAAAACATTGACAATTAAAGAAAAATGTGATATTTTAGACCGCTTAAATCGCAATGAAACTTTCAGTAGTTTAGCAAGTGAATACGCCGTAGGACGATCTGCAATTTATGACATTAAAAGAAACCACGAGAAGATCAAGAAGTTCATGTCAACTACTGACTGCGGGCCAGGCAAGAGACAGACACTCAAGAAAGCTCCAGAAGTGGAAGAAGCTTTGTAAATGTGGTTTCTTCAGGAAAGAAATAGGCATGCACCAATTTCAGGACCCATGTTGGCCATGAAAGCTAAGTTTTCTTATAAGGAAATAACAAAAAACGATGATTTTGTGGCCAGCAAAGGATGGCTAGAACGTTTTAAAAGTCGTCATGGCATACGTTTAATGACTATTACAGGAGAGAAACTTTCTAACTATGCCACCTGCATAGAGCCCTTTAAATTAAGATTTTTGCAAAAGGTGAACGATTTAAATCTTGCCCCGTCGCAGGTGTACAATGCAGACGAGTCAGGGCTTTTTTGGTGTGTGATGCCTAACAAAACTTTCGTTTCTTGTAACGAAAAATCCTTACCTGGACGAAAAGTAAGTAAAGAGCGTGTAACCATACTTCCATGTGCTAACGCTGCGGGCACACACTCGGTTAAGATGATGGTCATTGGGAAATCTAATAAACCACGGGCATTCAAAGACATTGATTTACCTGTACAGTATTACGGACAAAAAAGTGCATGGATGACAAAAGACCTTTTCCAAAAGTGGTTTGATGAATGCTTCGTACCTGAGGTTAGAAAATGGTTAAAAGATCATAATTTCCCTCAAAAAGCGTTGTTGCTTCTTGATAACGCTCCCGGTCATCCGTCTGAAGAAGAACTAACAACTGAGGGTAAATGCATCACTGCGATGTTTCTTCCGCCAAATTGCACTGCACTGATTCAACCAATGGACCAGAATATCATTCAGTTTGTCAAGCAAGACTATAAGAAAAACCTACTTCTGAGAGCCGTATCAAAAGACCAACCAATAGAAAAAACTTTAAAAGGATTTAATATGAAAGACTTGGTTTTTGCTCTTTGTCAGTCGTGGAATGCGTTACCGTCATCAACTATTAAATCGTCTTGGAAAAAGTTATGGCCAGATATAGTCACCACTCCTAGCAACGTTCCACAAATCAGTGTTACTTCGGAAGTTATAGCACAAGTCGCTACTGAAACACAGATAAGTCCGGAAGATTTGGAAATCTGGTGCCGTGGAACTGATAAAGAGGAGAATGTTTTTCATGAAATGTCTGACGAAGAGATTATAAAAGAGGTTTCTAATTATACAACAAACAATCAGGAAAATAACGACGATGTGATTGCAACTGCTCCACAAGTCACAGCACAAGACGCAATTAACGCCTTTGAGCTAGGTTTACAATGGGCTGAAGAGAATGGTACATCCTACAACAAACTTTTACTTTTGAGAAGACTGAGGGACAAAGCTCTGATCTCGCGTTATAACAACCTTGAACAAAAAAAAAATTGATGAATATTTCCAAGCATCATAATTTGATAAATTCATTAATGATTTTGATTAATAATTCTTGATTATTCTGGTACACATGTATGTGCATTTATGCTTAATTTTATAATAAAACGTAAGCTCTCTATTGTTATTTAATTTACTAAATTTACATAAGATATATAATCTTACCATTGGCTATGTAATTTGTCGGATTACAAGGTACTCTTTTGTACAAAATCCCGGACTATAGGGGGTCTTAGGCAGTGCTCTATAATCCGACAAATTCGATAGTCCGACACTGCCCTGCATAATGTTTGTCGGATTACCGGAGGTCCACTATAATAATAATAATATACGTGTTTATTTATCCACAATTACATTGTAGTATAGCCAAATGTCAGACTTACGTGGAGAAGTTTAGCATGCTGCTAGTCTTACACTTAACCATACAGTCGCTAGCAGATGTTCAAAAGTATACACTATCTACAAACAGATTTGGTTCATTACATGGAAAGTAAAAATTATAAAAAGGAAAAGGCATACTTTCCAAACCCAAGTACACTAAAAAAATATTAACCTGAATTAAAGATGAAAAAAAAAGAAATGAATGATTACGTAAATTATATGTTTGGAGGGTTGAGTAATTATGTTTTAACTTTTTGTCGAAAGACAGGTAATGAATATTCTTTATACACTTTAGGAAGGTCATTATAAATAATAGCAACATTGTAAGAAGAACTGCGTTTAAAAAGTGTAGACGTATGCTGGGGTATTCTAATACTATTTTCTCTGAGAGTTCTACAGTGAACATAATTATTAAATGAAATTTTTTCCTTCAAGTAAGAGGGTTTAGGCGTAAGCAGCAATTTGTGAACAAAAACTGAATCGTGATACCTGACCATGTCATTAATTTTTAACCAGTTTAGAACGGGATATTTCGCTGATACATGATCAAATTTACGTAAGCCAAAGATGAAACGTATACAATTGTTTTGAATAACTTGAATAACGTTTTTAGTGAAATTGTCTAAACAAGCATAGTATACGATATTACAATAATTTATTTATACATAGTTTTTTACGTAACTTAAAATTTAGTAAATACCTGTTTCCTATAAGAGTACGCAGCCGTAGGTAGGTTTTCTGGGAAATACTTTTAACATCTTCAATAAACCTTAATTTTGTATAAGAAAACACCAAGAATTTTTGCAGAATCAGAAAATTGCAAGATTTGGTTATTTATCTGAATGTTCAAGAGCTGTGTTACATTGTATGTTTTTCTTTGTGCGCAAAATAATAACATTTTAGATATTTGTGGATTAATAAGTAGATTGTGACCTACAGAGCATTTAATTAATTTACTAACATCGTTTTGTAAAATTTGAGTAGTATTATTGTCATTACCTTTGTTAAAATAATGGAGCAATTGCATATCGGCTGCAAATGACTGGACATGAGAATTAGCAATATATACTTTTAATTAAGTCGAACGTATATATGAGGAACAGCAGCGGCCCCAATACAGAGCCCTGAGGTACGCCTTAGGGAATTACTGTCACTTGAGACATTTCTTGGTTGAGAAAAACACACTGAGTTCTTTGATGAAGGTAACTGTCGAAAAATGAAAGAGATACACTGTCAAGACCTATGTAATTTAATTTAGCAAGTAATAATTTATGATTGATGCTGTCAAAGGCTTTCGAATATGTGAGCAGTACTCGAGGTTAGGTCTTATCTGGACCTTGACGAGATGTGTTCATGCCAGATCAAGTCCTCTATGATCTGAACTCCGACCAGCCGAAATGAACGGCTCTTTCGTAGAAATCGGATGAGCGCTAGGACGCGTTTACGTTAAGAAATTTACAGAATGACGGCGCTTCTTAATGTATCGTAAATAAGCAGCAACTTGCTTATTTTAAGTGGAACGCTTTGTATATTATTCAATTTTTGGATTCAACGCAAGATTCTTACTTTGCTTAAATAAATAATTACAAATGCTGACCGATAAAATATACTGTGTGTGACATATAAATCCGAACACCCAGTTTAAATGGTTTTATTTTAATAAAAGTTGGTGAATATATTTATCTTACTGTAAATAACAAGTAAAAAATTGTTCAGCCTTATCAGTTGGACATTCCGGTTTTTATCCTGCTTTTTTTTAATTCACTAACGCTCCAAAAATGAATATTTCAGCCGCAGTAAAGAATCAACGTTGGCGGATTTTGGTTCTTGACATCCTTTACGATCGGTTACGATGCCTAGAGTACGGAGACCTGTACGATTTCATCAGTCGTTTAGTGAGTTTGATAGGGGCCGTATAGTGGGATTTCGGGAAGCTGGACTTTCTTTTCGGGCAATTGCAGTTAGAGTGCAAAGAAGTGTAGACACTGTGGTTAGGTGTTGTCAGGCATGGCTTCGAGAAGGCCGTACTCAAAGAGCAAGGGGCACTGGACGCCGGCGTAGAACAACAGACCGTGAAGATCGCCGCCTAAGATTATTGGCCTTAAGGGACCGTTTCTCCACTACCAGGTCCATTGCAAATGAATGGTTTGCAGAACACGGAAGACCTATTGGCATGCGAAGTGTTTACCGACGAATGAGAAGTTTTGGCATGTTCATCACACTGTTGGAGTTGTGGTTTGGGGTGCTATAGCTTATGGTTCCAGGTCACCTTTAATCTTCATCAGAGGTAACATGAACGCGCAGCGTTATATTCACAAAGTTCTAGAACCCCATCTTTTACCCTATCTTGACACCCTGGCAGATCCAACTTTCCAACAAGATAATGCCCGACCACATGTTGCAAGAGTCACAATAGACTTCTTTCAACATAATGATGTCATATTGTTACCATGGCCACCAAGATCTCCCGACTTATCCCCAATTGAGCACGTGTGGGATATGATGGGTAGGAGATTGCTCAATTTGCAACGTCCTCCTCAGACCCTAGAAGCACTTCGAGAGGAGTTGGTGGTTGCCTGGAATGATATACCACAGGAGGACATTGACCACCTGATCAGAAGCATGCCTAGGCGCGTTGGAGAATGCGTAGCACATCAGGGTGCATCCATACATTATTAAAGGTCAAAGGGCTTTAAAGCAGTGCAATCATTTTGAAATTTTTATCATTTACTTATTATGCTTCATTAAGTACTTATACAAAATTTTATTAAAATAAAACCATTTAAACTGGGTGTTCGGATTTATATGTCACTTAGTATAATTACAAATAGCATTAGTAAACATTAATCACTTAATCATTTCGAACTTACTTCATATGAATCATCGACTCAAACTTCAAAAAGGGCTTCCGTTAAAGTTTACGTATACGGCAACTACGACTGCCAAAACTCACTTATTATTACGTAATATTAATTTTTCATCGTATTTTTGTCTTTGTCATGCGACTTAGCAAGGGTACTATAAAAGTTTTGCAATATGACTTAACAAACGGACGCAGGAGGCTGCGTGTTACTGCATGTTGATACATGTCCATGAGTGCATAGTAGCCGCCAGTAGCACGTCTGTTGATTTAGTTGTTCATTCGTATTGACAGAGTAAAGTGCGGACTATGGCATCGTGGTCACGTAGTGAGAAAAAGGCAGTTTTAGGGTATAACCTTACTCGTGATACTTCATAATTTCATCGTATCAAGTATTGTAAGTGAGGCTAATTTTGGTTAAAGTTGTCTACTAAAGCGTAGTTACTTCGGGTCCCGTCATGAGCAACTGAGATTCGCTGTACAGATCCCAGACTATAACTATATTTTTTCTTTCAGGATCTGCACGAAATACATCTATGCTGCAATGGAAAGGCTAAAAAATAAAGTTGTCAAGGATGAAAAGGAACTGTCACTTATTGAAAGGATATTGGCGAGTGAGAAAGATCCCAAAATTGCTACCATATTTGCGTTGGATTTGATATTGGTTGGAATAGACACGGTACGCTATGCCATTAGATTAGACAATAGCTTTACTTTAACACGTTCGCTGCCAGACATATTTTTTAACATGTGTCTATTACGCCAAACATATTTTACATTGAGCACTAGTGGGCCACCATATAAAAAAGACTTTGGTCCCATCGGGGCCACATTCCTCATTATGGAAAAATATAAGAAATTATATGTGCGGCGAATAGCTTCTAGGCCATGTTGGTCCATTTCTGCAGGCGTACATGAGTAAATGAGCGCCAACGGCCCAGCAGCTATTAGAAAATGCGTTGACCCCATGGGACCAACATAGCCTGGTAAGGCAAAATATATGTTGGCCCTATTGGACCAATGTGGCCTGCTGCGGCAACATGAGTGTTGGTCCTATAGGGCCAACGTGGCAGTGAACGTGTTAATGGCCATATTTGACATCAGCGCCCCAAACTACCCACGTGTACCGATCTTTGCTTGTAACAACGAGTGACGGAAAGAATGGAAATTTTGCGTTTGGAACCTTTAAGGCTAGAGAAACTTTTCAAAAATTGGATAGAGAATAGGTGCTTGGCTTTGGTTCGTCGTTCTACCTGAGACTTAGGCCCGTATCGTCAGTCGTTCCTACAATTGTAGGGCGCGTTTATGGCCTCCTTGATTGTCATACTGCTTTCTCTCCTTCAAAAATTTCTATATTATACTTGTCCCGAGTCAGCGTCAGCGCTCTCCTATTCTGAAGATATGTTTACTTTTTAAATTGTAGGAAATTTCAGGCTGATAAAACATGAGATAACTCAAAAGCAAGCACAATTTGATGAAAATAGATGTTTGTGACATAACCTCAAAATAGAGCGCTGACACGGAGAAGTAGAAAACTATGACAATCAAGGAGGCCCTACAATTGTAGGGACGACTGACGATACGGGCCTAAGCCTAGACCCTGCTGATGAGTTGCCAAATAGGACGAAACAGCTATCCATGGTTGGCCGAACAAGCGACTGCTATATTATTAGTTCTTTTAAATTCTTCCATATCTGTAATCTCGAACAAACCCATATAAACAAGGGATTTCTGACGCTTTGTCAGAAAATACTTAATGAAAGGGAGCAATAGGCACGCAGAAAAAAATCAAGGACACATTCTAAATCACTGAGTGTCTCGAAGGCAACTGGTATCTGGTGACTATTATATTTTTTTAAAAATACTTCCAGGGATAGAATGGTTCTTTAAATAATAGAATGACTGAACAAGGTTACAAATACCACGACATAAGCTTACATAACTACAGTTACAGTCAATAAAAGTTGAACTGGGTAACAAAGGAGACATTATAAATCAAATCGCTCACTTTACCCTCGTTACATGGCTACGTTATCACCCAGAACTACGAACAAGTATAAATACCTGAAATGGCTAAGTTGATCTACTCGACACAATTGATACAAACTGGCAGAGACCGATTTAAGACTGGCTTGCATACCGGCGAGTTTTCTTTATATACGTATAGTTTGGATGTCCCATAACTCATTCTATAAACTAAGATATTGACTGTTCAATGATCATAAAAAATGCGTGTAAATCAGAGTTTTTGGAAGCTTTTCCTTAACCATTTGCATCTGCGAGTGTTTATAGAAGTATTGAATGGTATCATATGTCTCGAACCAACTCTATCGGCAAGGGTTACTCCAAGGCTATAAATAGAAATACCGGCAAGTATTATGGCTTAAAGATACAGACTTAAAACGTGGGAGACATCGCCTGGAGCCATTTTGGTTCTAAAGTACGTATTTGATGAAATACATTCTTTGTCTTATTTGAACATTATAGTCAAAAAATATACTAAGTGACATATAAATCCGAATACCCAGTTTAAATGGTTTTATTTTAATAAAAGTTGGTGAATGTATTTATCTTACTGTATATAACAAGTGGAAACATTTTCAGCCTTATCAGTTGGACATTCCGGTTTTTATACTGCTTTTTTTTTAATTCACTAACGCTCTAAAAATGAATATTTCAGCCGCAGTAAAGAATCAACGTTGGCGGATTTTGGTTCTTGACGTCCTTACGATGCCTAGAGTACGGATACCTGTACGATTTCGTCAACTTAGTGAGTTTGATAGGGGCCGTATAGTGGGACTTCTGGAAGCTGGACTTTCTTTTCGGGCAATTGCAGTTAGAGTGCAAAGAAGTGTAGACACGGCTTCGAGAAGGCCGTACGCAAAGAGCAAGGGGCACTGGACGCCGCCGTAGAAGATCGCCGCCTAAGAGTATTGGCCTTAAGGGACCGTTTCTCCACTACCAGGTCCATTGCAAATGAATGGTTTGCAGAACACGGAAGACCTATTGGCATGCGAAGTGTTTACCGACGAATGAGAAGTTTTGGCTTGTTTTCATACCGGCCACACTGGGTCCTCCCTTTAACTCGAGAACACCGACGTAATCGCCTTGAGTGGTGCAGACAACGGTCACTCTGGGATCAGGAATGGAACAGTATTGTCTTTAGTGACGAGTCTCGATTTTGTTTAGGCATGCACGATGGTCGTGCCAGGGTTAGAAGGCGACGTGGTGAAAGGAGGATTCCACAGTTTTTTGTTGAAAGACATGTTCATCACACTGTTGGAGTTATGGTTTGGGGTGCCATAGCTTATGGTTCCAGGTCACCTTTAATCTTAATCAGAGGTAACATGAACGCCCAGCGTTATATCCACGAAGTTCTAGAACCCATCTTCTACCCTATCTTGACACCCTGACAGATCCAACTTTCCAAGATAATGCTCGACCACATATTGCAAGAGTCACAATGGACTTCTTTCAACATAATGATGTCACATTGTTACGATGGCCACCAAGATCTCCCGACTTATCCCCAATTGAGCACGTGTGGGATATGATGGGTAGGAGATTGCTCAATTTGCAACGTCCTCCTCAGACTCTAGAAGCACTTCGAGAGGAGTTGTTGGTTGCCTGGAATGAGATACCATAGGAGGACATTGACCACCTGATCAGAAGCATGCCTAGGCGCGTTGGAGAATGCGTAGCACATCAGGGTGCATCCACACATTATTAAAGGTCAAAGGGCTTTAAAGCAGTGCAATCATTTTGAAATTTTTATCATTTACTTATTATGCTTCATTAAGTACTTATACAAAATTTTATTAAAATAAAACCATTTAAACTGGGTGTTCGGATTTATATGTCACTTAGTATAGCTGAAACAACTACATACCAAGACTCATTAAGGGAGAAATTATCATACAAGTCACTGATTTTACCCTTAGGACATTGCCATTTGTCCATGTTTTTGGTTTGATAATATGGCTGAGTTGAGCTACCCGACACAATTTAGTCATACTGACAGAGAAAAAATTAGGGATTCTGGCGAATGCCCTGTGTACGTAGAATAGTTTAAAAAAACGATGCTTTTAGGGTATAGTGGGAAAGTGCAGTGCGAAAGTTCACTTTTTGAGTTAAGATAAAAAATATAAACTTAATGAAGCGAACACATTTATTACTATCAACATATTCGTAAATGCGGCGGGTTTTATTTCTTAAATATCATTCAGTCTAAATGTTCGGACACACTCATCTAATCGTGCGCGCAAATTCTCAAACACTCTCTTGCACAGTTCCGGAGTGATCTTGTTTATTTCTCGTCGAATGTCGTCTTTAAGCTCCTTCAGTGTTCGTGGATTATTAGAATACACTTTTGACTTTAGATAGCCCCCACAAAAAATAATCGCATCGCGTGAGGTCGGGTGACCTAGGAGGCCAGTGAATGTCTCCAAACTTTGATATAACTTTTGAGGTAAAAGTGCTTTCACCGTGTCCATCGATTCTCTGGAAGTATGGTGATGTTTCTGTTAAATCGACGTTCTGTACTTACAATGGGAAGAGGATTTGCAATGACCGAATCACTTACTCTACGCACCTTTCTGTGGGGCTGTAGAGCCTGTTCGACGGAATCTCTTAATAGGTTCCTTTTACGGCTAATAACCATAGAAGTTGACGCCGTCAAAAAAAAAATAAAAAATAGGTTCTTATTTGGGACATCTCTTGGTGGGCGAATGTTGTATCGTGTTCAAAATTTCCGAAGGGCAGCTGCGTATGCATCACCACTCTTAAAGTAAGCCTCGATAGCAGAAGCACTTTGCGCTCCGGTCCAACGTTCTATTGTGACTATTCAACCCGCACGCCGAACGCGTCGATCGAGACCTCTTCGCACTTGCTCGCGTATACGGTTGCCGCGTAAATTTGAAATGTGAACTTTCCCACTGGTCACCCTATAATTTAGGACTTCTGAAGGTGTTATTTGGTGTTATCGATTATCTTTTGTCCAAATGCATAATAAAGATCATATTAGTCCACGACCTGCCTAGCACGGTTTCGTATGTCTGCGCTTCAGGTAAAAAAAATCGTAAACTAAACTGGTGGACAGTTGCTTTGAAACATTGAAAATTTTACCCACTTTCATTTCTCGATATTTTCGGAATGAAAAGAGATATCGAGTTGTGGTATTTGAGAGGTTCTTGACCAACTCTTTGAGAGCACGTACTGGTATATTTTTTAACTTATATTTTAATGAGCCGTATTCATAAAAGAGAAGCATATACTCGGAAACATATCCTTGTTTTCATATTCATAATGATTACCTTATACTCGCGAGGATATCCTCCAAGAAGAAGTAAAAGGTTGACTGGTATTTGCATCTTGAGCAACATGTCCTGACTTGTTCCAGCTTGTATTTGACGTGGGAGTTCGTTCACTCAGCATCACTGACAGTTGTATTCCAGAGCTTACACAGACCGTTCCGTATTTTTACTGGATACAGTTTTTTATCAAATTAATAAGCATGTCATCGTCAAGTGATGAGGAAACTATAGAAAATAATGGCAACAACCTGCAGTTGCATTATTTTGCAAAAGTCACAACTTCCAAAAATAAAAAGAGAAAGGACGATGCCTTGAAGATGTTGAAAAAATACGAATCAACATTCGGTAAACCATTAGATAGGCTTAT